CACCCACACCCACACCCTTTAATAACAATACAGGCAGAAATGGATGCACTATTAAGCAAGCGTCGTTCGATTTCTCCTAACTTAACTCGTTGTCCATGTAATTTTATCTTGAGGGTGTGGGTGTGGGTGTGGGTGTGGGTATGGTGTGCGAGAAAAGGAGTCCTGAGCACCCATACTCACCCACGCTCAAATTCACACAAACACCTTAAACTCCATAATCTCATGTTTTTGAAAAATTTGTTCAAATAAAAGAAAATAAATCAGATGTATTAGATGGTAAGTAGATTTTGTTTGAGTAGTTTGATATTTAATCTATAATTTTTATTTTAAAAATTTGCGCGCTTATGTTCTGCGCGCAAGTGTCGTGCGCGAAAATGTCATTGCGCGCAAGTGTCCGCGCGTAACTGTCTGCGCGCAAATGTCACGCGCGTAAATGTCCTGGAACCTATTAACTAAATGATATGTAGTTCTTAGTGTGACTTCAGCTGGACCATACAAGTTCCAGACCCGACAAGATTTCACTATATGATATGTCAACACTTTCATTAATGAGAACAACATAAGTTCGCCTAAACAAATATATGAATGGTCGCCTAAATTTTTGGAATTAACTCACCGACACAATAAATACTTCTCATTGATATCCATGAATGAATCGTATTCTGCTGGATGAAGTTACATAAATGAGTGAGAAACGAAGGAACAACTACCAAATGCGTCACTTGCATTTCATGTAGATTATGATTGAGATATGCGAAATCTATATTACCATCAGGATGCAGCATAATTACTGTTGCGCCGGATATCAAAGGAGCTAAAACTTCATATACATGTGGAATCAAATATCAAAGTAGCAAGTTGCATGACATTATCTCTTTTAAGCAGAGCACCGATGTGCATAAATGAATGTGTAAAATGTATAAAATTCTGATGTCTTACTCGAATCTGTCGGATATAAAGATAAAAATTCAAGAGATGTCATGTAACAAACTCTAAAATATACTGATTTTGGTGCTCCGGTTGAACCACTTGTGAGAATGATATAAGTAACATTACTTGATGTGACTGTAATACTTGACAGATGATCAACGTTAACATCACTGATCATATCATTATTAATCAATGTTGAATGAATGTCAATCGATACAATTTTATTATTGAACTGGATTTTGTCAACCAATGATCAAGAACCAGGCGACATTGTGTTTGTTGTGCAAGTGCATGTAAACGATGTTGTGGATCTCGAGGTGATAATGGACGATAAACAGTACCGGCCATTTCGATTACCATTGTACCAATTTCCTATACAATACGAAAACTTCAATCACACTACAAATCAATCTCAAACAATAACTCACCATTGACAAACTTCTCCCAACACATTGACAAATGACTTCACCTGAAAGAATATGATATTCATTAAAATGAGTTAACGATAAGACTTGAACATAATACAAGAGTGCAGCATAGGTTAACGATTGTTCATCAAGTTCAACAGCTAGTTTTTGTGGATGTTTCATTACTTGATGCACAAATTCATGATGAATACAAGTGACAGGCCATGAAAATGATACTTGTGTATTATTCATTAATTGCATTAGTAATCTTTCGTGTGGTAATGTGAGTGACATTTCACAGATTGATTTATTCATTTGATGATCAACAGATGTAAATAATTGTTTCAATATTGAATGAAATCATTGAGATATCTTATGAACTGTCTCTACATTGAATAAATCAAGTGATGCTTTGATTGTGTATGAGAGTTGGTTAATATCAAGATCATGTTGAATTAGAAGTGTGAAATCAGAGTTATTTCTATATATTGGTAACGATGATTTTAAAATATATTCTAACAATAATGAATTAGAATGAAGCATTAAATCAATCAATTATATATTCCAATTAGAAGATATGAAATATTCATCTATTCTATAACGATACACAATAATTATTCCAGCTTGAACATATTTCGATATATTCATACTGATGATATTCAAAATACATTGTAATGATAATGAGCAACAATCAAACTTGAAATCGAATTAATTATTTTTTCCAATTAGAACAAATGAGATATTTATTCGTTTAATGAGAATACACAAACAATTATTTTTAATGTAAAGGTATTTCTACATATTCGTAATGATGATATTCAAAATACATTGAAACGATAATGAACGATAATGGAACCTGAAATCAAATAATTATTTTTTCTAATTAGAACAAATAAAATATATATTCCTTCTATAACAATAAACAATAATTATTCTAATTTGAAGGTATTTCAATATATTCATAATGATCATTTTAAAAATCAATTGCTACGATAATGAGCGAGAATATAACTTGAAATCAAACAAATTATTTTTTCCAATTAGAACAAATGAGATATTTATTCATTTAATGAGAATATACAAACAATTATTTTTAATGTAAAGGTATTTCTATATATTCGTAATGACGATATTCAAAATACATTCTAACGATAATAAATGAAAGTAAAACTTGAAGTCAAAGAATTATCTTCTTTATTTAGAACAAAAAAGCACTTATCTTTTTTATGACAATAGCTGTTTGCAGAATATTTTGCGATATTGTGATGCGTAATATGATCTTGTTGGTGAAACGATTTACATATGCATAGTGTGCTTGTTTTCGTTATGGGGCAAAAATTTTATTTTCATTGTCATAGATTGAAGCAGCGTATGTTCATTGAAAGGGCAATACCGTTACTGAGTATATTTAGAAAGAAAAATCAAGGATCAGAGGAAGGTTAAGACAATAGAAGACTATAGTGGCAGGTGCAGAAACTAGACGATGGAAATGAAGACGTTAACAACCGTGTGTCTCTACTTTGTACAATTTTCGAAAACTGGAGAAGCTCTGCGCCTATTAAACTTTTTTTTGATAGATTTGAGTGAAAGTCAGATTCACAAATCATCAGGAAGTGGAGTTTTATTTCTATATACTTTGTCTATTACCATTAGTAAAGTTCTTTCATAATATTCTATAGCGTTTAATTTGACTACAGTTTCACAGATATTGGATCTTTATTTGTTGCTACGGTTGAAAAGACGATGTTTATATCGGTGATCATCTCTGATGTCTTGTTGGTCACGTCTGTGATGATCTATAATTCTATGTTGATCACTGTGTGTGTCGATCAATCCGTCTCGTCTGTGGGTGTGCGCTGATTTAATCAAGCCGCATCCACACACCCTTAAGATTACACGTATAAATTCTACATTATTGTAAAAACAAACATATGCATTTTAACGATAATTATTACATTATAATTGATTAAGTTTGAAGATGAGATATTAGTTGCACATGTTTATCATTATTTACCTCTTTTACAGCAAACAGAATTTAAAAGACAATATAATAAATTATTAAGTATGATTTAACATTTTTTTTTATATTTTAGAACAGCATTATATTCAATACTAAAATAAAATGGAATAATAGAACAAATGCATTATATAACTACATAATATTGATCATCTATTTTCAAATTAATTACTTTCATTAACAAGACATATATCCAAATTTTATAATCACAATTGATATTAATCATAATTTTAGTCATATCCAAGAGTTCGAACAAACACAGGAAAATATCAATTTAAATGTCTTTAACTTCTACGCTATACTTATGTATATATATGTATGCATATATGACATAGTCATGATACATTAATTATTTATGAAATTCATCTTAAGTATCGGAGAATAAAGATTGACTGTATAATACAAAAGATGAAGATATATTTTATTAACTAATTTGTCTTATAAAAATGAGATAATATTTTATACTATCGATGAAATCATTTTTACATTTTTTTATTTTTCTATATTTGCGTAGGTGTAATTTAGTTTGAAACTTGTGCATTACTAATGCAAATTAATACATATTTTTAAAGCGCAAGATTAAATCTAGAAAGAAAAGCAAATATAAATAATTTATTAAACTAATTAATATTGAGCATGAAAAACATTTATATTTTATGCTTCATGATAATTAATTGACTGATACACTATATTGAACAGCAATAGACATTTTTTTATCTTATTTTTTTTGTATCTTTACAAAATAATTTGTGTAATATTTGATTATTTTGAAAGAAAAATTAAAATTTATCTTTTAATTATTCTCAACTTTATATAAAATTTTAACTAAACTATTGTTAATATTTTTTATATAAAACTCATTGTTAATGATTATATTAATGAATATAATATTATCTTTCATTCAAATCATTGTTTCATAATCGACAAAAAAACTCTGTTATTTGTTTCGTAGATTCTACTATAATATATTTTAAAAAATTTTCGGCATCTCTAAAAATTATATTGTTAACATCAATGATCAATATTTGTCTAATATATCAAATATTTTAATTCAAAGTTCTTTTTTTTATCTGCTCCATTGAAAAAATTACACTTGATGTTCCAATTTTATTTCGGCAATGTAGTATAGACAATAATAAATACTATTTTTGATATCATCTTTCGATAGATGATATATATATTTGCATTGCATTATATGATAAAAAAAAGTATATACTATAGATTGGATCAAATTTAGATTTAATCAATGGATATTGTAAACTTATAGTATAGAATAAAATATTGTCTTATTAATACTTTCACAAGTTCTCTTCTATTATTTACTTCATTAAAATATCTGGCTTATATCAAAAAAGATGATGATTGAAATTCTTTATAAAGTTAGATATAATTGAATTCAAAGTTAATTTAATATATATTAGAAAAAAAAGATAATTAGTAAAAAACACTTGTATGGTTATAGATGTAAAAATATTTATTTGTTTATTAATGAATTAGTTAAATAATAATTATTGTACGTTGTTTTGAGTATTTAACATTGTATAATAAATTCCACCTTTTTGTATTAGTTCTGTGTGAGTACCACTTTCTACTATACGACCCATTTCAAGCACATGTATTAAATCACATGAATGTATTGTTGAAAGACGATGTGCAATAATAATTGATGTTCGACTAGAATCTTCTCTTTGAGCTTGATCAAGAGTTTCTTGTACTATCTGAAAGTTATTAAAAATATTAAATTTTACTTCTAAAAGAAAATAAGTTTACTTGTTCATTGTATGGATCCATAGCACTTGTAGCTTCATCTAATAATAATATTTTTGGTCGACGAATAAGAACTCGAGCAATAGCAATACGTTGTTTTTCACCACCTGATAAAAAACTACCTTTTACTCCAACTTTTGTTTTATATCCCTATATGAAAATATAAAATTATATTATTAAATAATCAAAATATTAATCTAACTAGAGGTAATTGTTGAATAAATTCATGAATATTAGCTTTAGTTGCAGCAAGAATAATCTCATCCATTGGTATATTTTCTAATCCATATGTTATATTTTCAGCAATTGTTAAGTCAAATAAAATTGGTTCTTGACTAACAACACCCAAACGAGAACGAAGCCATTGAAGATTTAATTGTCGAATATCAACACCATCAAGAATCTTATTTATATTTATATGTTTTTATATAAGTACTTACATAATATATAGAATATAGATACTTACTAGTTCTCCATGTGTAACATCATAAAATCGTTCTAATAATTGAACTATTGTTGATTTTCCACACCCAGATGCACCTAAACTCGATTAATATTATATGATTAATAAATTAGAAAAACATAGTAATTTATTGTTACACATACCAACAAGAGCTATACGTTGACCTGATTTAATAGATAATTGAAGTTTATTAAGAACAAGAACTGCTGGACGACTTGGATAAATAAATTTAACTTGATTAAATTCTGTTTCTCCACTAAAGTTAGTCTAAATAATTCAGAATTAAAATATACACAATTGAAAAACAATAGTTTTTCTTCTTACGAATTCTTTTCCTTTATTAGATTCATTATCAATAGTTGGTATTCGATCAAATAAATCAAAAAATGCTTGTGCAGCAGCAAATGATGCACCAATACGATTTGCTCTAAAAACGAAAATAAGAAAAAGAAAACATAAATTTTCTATCTTACAATATTTCAACAACATTTAATGATTGTAATGCAAACATTACAAAAGCAGAAATCCTATAAAAATAAAAAAAAGATTTATAAATTATAAAAATCATTGTTTTATTTACATAACAATATTATTCATATCCAATTCATTGTTTTCAACAAGAATTAAAGCACGCCAATATAAAAGTCCCAAAGTAAATGGACTCAATGCCGAATACAATGCAAATACTGCTGCATATAATATGTCAGGTTTCCAAGACATTCTAAACAAAAGATAATTTATTCAAGATTGAAACAAATATCTGTAAATGAAAAAGAGAGTTATATCCGATATTGTTAGTTCATGATTAATATAAAAGATTTTTTTTTTGATAAAATTAATCAAAATTGTCAAAACAACTCGACTTTTTTTTATCACTTCAGATATATTTAGATTTCAATTTCGATCTACTATAATTAGAAAATAGGTTTTATGATTTTTCATGACTATGCAAAACAAAAGTTCTTTTTCATAATATTATTATAAATTCTCATAGAACTTAACGCTTAAAAGCCGAAGGGGGTTCCCGTGAAGTTCAGGTAGAATTAATTACATAAATAGAGATTTTGAGCCTTCAATATGCACTTACCGTGGTTAGAACTGCTGGGTGTGACCAAAAATTTCTTCCACCCAGATGACCTGGGTGGAATATGACCTTCATAATTTTTTGTGCGCTTGAGTTTCTAATATGGTTCAGAATCACTGTCAGTTCATTCTGATGATATTTTAACATATCTCCAATTACCTGTTGAGCGAAAAATTCACAATAATCGTGATTACTATGCCCAAAATGCCATTAAAATGGTACTTTTTTATAACGTCAGAATACCTTAGTAGAAGAGTTAAAAGCGTGCAAAGTTGTTCTAAACTATAGTTTAGGGTTATTTCTAATGATATCACTCAGAATCTATATTGTATATATCAGGGTATATCAATATCCGAGTAACCAATTTTGCTTGAAAAATTATACATTCTAAGAGCTAGGTTTGGGCGTTTGACAACTGTTTTAGCATAATGTTATTCCATCATACTTTTACTATGACTGTCTTCGTCCCTAAAAACAGTAGCTTTTGCAGAAAAGACTTTATTTCTTCGTTCTATAGCATTTAATGCAATGTCCATTGAAAGGGACATACGGCTTTTAAGGGTTAAAGTTCTCAACTATTTTTCGTTTTTTTTATTTTTTATAAAGAACTTCATGCATAGTGATGAAAAATCTTCTAAATTATTTAAGAAAACGATGATAAAATACACTTTATAGAGAATTTATCTATGAGGAATGTTTCATTACGGTTAGTTACAATCGAAATACACACAACAATAGAAAAACTCGAATGACTTTAAAATAACTTAGATTTATTTCTTATATGATGATCATCTACTTAAATAATTATTCTAACTTGTTTTTTTTCAAATATATATTATTCAAATAAAGATTAACCTTAATATTTGATCAATCATATTCGAATATTGTCGTAAGACTTCATTTTCCACTGATAATTGTTTTACTGTACGCATATTATTAATAACTTCAACAGCAAGCTAAACAAAATAAAACATAGAAGAAATATTTAATAATTATTTCATCAAATTAAAATATTATAAATAACAAGATGCTTTTACCGTACTAGCTTGACTATAAATCAGATCAGATTCTGTTTTTAACCATGAACTCAATCGTATTTGTATAATACTGGCGATTAGTAGAATAATGAAAGGAATAATTATAGTTATTGTTAATTGCCAATTGTAAAAAAAGCCAAGTAAGATGCCAAAAGTAGACATGGATAAAGCTTGACAAATAACACCTAACCTTGTCCCAGCCATATCTTCAATAGCAGCTGCATTAGAAGAAAGTTGATTACATATTGCACCTGAACTATTTTCAGGTCGATCAAAATAAGCCACTTCTTGACGAAGAAAACATGAAAAAGCTTTTGAACGAATTCGACTAACTAATTTCGCTCCTGCGATTCCAAAAGTCACATACTATAAACAAACATGAAATAAATCATTGATATAGTTTAGTAATTATATTATTACTTGAAAAAAATGAAGAATCATAAAAAGAGCACCGATAAGAATAAATAAACCACTTGTAATTAATACTCGACGATGTATATCAGTATATTTACAATCATTAAATTCCTGAATAAAAAAACAAATCTTTTATTTTTTCTTCGAATATTCATACAAATATAAAATCACTTACATTAATTATTTTTGCAAATAGAATCGATAAGAGTGGTCCATGTAATCCACCAAGTAAACATGTTAAACATCCAATCAAGATAAATATCCATTCAGGACTATTCATCTTCAAGAGTCTAACAAAGACAAATTTTTCTCTTGTTGATATTAAACTTCTCTAAACAATTTATATATTAATAATAATAATTTTTTAAAGTTATTAGATATTTATTTTTACCCGATTTATATCAATTGCTTCAGTCTCACTCAATTGACGAATACGTTCCACTATTCCGAAAAACAAAACAGAATCAAGTTCGTAAAATCTAATAGTAATAACATACATATTTGTTCTTCATCTTCAGCTGTTGCCATATTCATTAAACCATCTTGTGTATTAATTGTTTTTTCAGATTGTTGCATTTTAACCATTGTTTGATATTTTCCTCCTTCTTTTCTCATTAATATTTCATGTGTACCTTCTTCAATTATATTTGCATTATCTAATACATAAATATAATCAGCATTTTGAATTGTAGTTAAACGATGAGCAATAACTATTGTTGTACGATCTATATTTATATAATAATAATAATCATCACATGAATAGAAATTAAATAATTCTTACTTTTACATGCTCGATCAAGTGCTTCTTGAACAATTTTTTCACTAACATTATCAAGTGCACTTGTTGCTTCATCTAATAAAAGAATACTGGGTTGTTTAACAAGTGCACGAGCTAATGCAATACGTTGTTTTTCACCACCACTCAATTGTATTCCACGTTCACCAACAATTGTTTCATATTTCTATAAACAAATAAAAATATTAATAGAAACAAATGAATATTTAAGAACAAACATTTGGTAATTTCATAATAAATTTATGTGCATTAGCTTGTTCTGCTGCTTGTTCAATTTCTGTACGTGTTGCATTTAATTTACCAAAACGAATATTTTCATAAATACTCATTCCAAATAAAATCTATTTTAATGGATATATCATTCAATAGAGATTAAAACAAAAATAAAATAAACCTACAGGTTCTTGACTAACAACTCCAATATTTTGTCGAAATTGTTTGATTTTATAATCTGTAATTGATTGACCATCAATCATAATTCTACCTGAAGAAGGTTCATAGTAACGAAGAAGAAGTGATACACATGTACTTTTTCCTATCAGAATAAATTTTAATATTAAAATAATTATGCTTGTTTCAAAAAAAGACTATTTACCACAACCACTTGAACCTACAAGAGCAGTTGTTTGATTAACACGAGCAATCAATTTAAGATTATTTAAAGCTGTTACATTTTCTCTCGATGGATAAGAAAAACAAACATTATCAAATTCAATATCACCATTGATGTTAGAAATTGACTTTTCATCCGATATATTCTCTTCTAATATTTCCTTTCCATTCAAATTTTCATCATGTACCTTCATCATAAAATAAATTAGAAAATATTATTGTTAAGATTCAATCTCTCTAGTATTTTACTTCATCAATAAGTCGAAATACGGATGCAGCTGCACCTTGAGCTTCTGAAATCGATTGGAAGAAAGGACCAATTGAAACAAGAAGATTTAAAGCTTGTGCAAATATATTTACAACCTAAATAAAAATTTATTTTTCAGTTACTTTCTTGTATATTGACGCTATACGTCACTTACAATAAGAATCTCACTAATCGTCAGTGTACGATGAGTTCCAGAAAACATAAGAATAGAACCAAAAGTAAAACCAATTGAATAAACTAGAAAGGATATAAAAAATAGCCAACCATTATAAGCACCAAATGCAGCATTCTTGCGAACAATACACCATTCATTTAATTTTAATTCTTTATCATATCTAAAGACGAGATAAATAATAGATTTATTGATTTATTTATTTCTTTACTGTTTTTGTTGATATCTACTTCCATTGAATGAAAAAACAGTTCTCAATGAACTAAATACTTCTTGAGCAATTTGTCCAGCTTTTGAATATGTATTTAATTGTTTTTGTGTTTCTTTTGTGATCAGCTGAAATTATTGATAAAGATTTTAATAAATAAAATAATAATTTCTACCTTAGCAAATGTCAATGAACTAACAACAACAATTGGAATTGTACAAGACATAATTAAAGATAATTTCCAATTGAGAATAAAAGATATAATAAAACTGAAAATCATAACTAAAATAAGCCCAATTACTACTAAGAATTCAGTGCCAATCCCATTTTTAATCTTTTCAATATTTCTACAAAGGAAATCAATCATATACATAATTATTTTTTATATTTACTTACGTAAAAAGCTTTGAATTATATTGAGTAGTTTGATTTGTATCCAAATATTTCATATTCTAAAAAGAATGAAAGATAAAGAAATAAATTTATTGAAAATGATCAATTCATCATTTTCTTTAATATTATTTTCTAATTTATTTATTCAAACTATTTTTATTTTTATACTCATTTCTTGTAGAATTTTTATTCATTATTTAGTTGTTACACTAAAGATGTTTTTACAATTTTTTGTTTGTTAATCGGAGAAATATTTTGAAAAAAGAAAAGTAGAAATCAAGTTCAGAATGGTCTATTTTATTTTAAATAATGTTTGACTTAGAAGAAGAGAAATCAGTCGAATAAACTGTACGTTAACTAGTTTAATCGTTTATAATCACTTATTTTAATTACTCTTCAATGAATTCTAGTAGAAATTTGATACAACGCATTCAATTGTTGACTTCTAACCACGAATTCGAAAGTTTTTTTGTAAGCGTAAGAAAGAATATTTGTAACTTACACGTTGAATAAGTGATTGAAAGAGTAAAATACTCATACGAGATGTTTGTCGTTTTGTAGCAATTGTCGAACAGATATATTCAATAAAAGTACATAGAAATGTAACAATACCAAAACCTACATTGACACAGAGAAATAACAAATCATTTTTTTAATTTAAATTATTCTATTTAATAGATTTACCAAAAAATAAATAAACTAAATTCAAAACATTTTCTCGAAATAAAGGTGTTAATGGAGATAATGTTGATGAAATGATTTTATTATCATAATGACAAAATCTATGAATGAAAAATTTTACAAATTTCAAAATAAGAATATTTTTTTTAACAAATTACTTATGTAATCGATCATAATTTAATGAATTAAGATCAATACCAAAAGGACATATACTATTATTAATAATTGAAGATTCGATATTTTTATATTGATTATGACAATCAAGAGCAAATGATCTTGTGGCAAATAATCCTGTAATTCGAGCAAAAAGTATTACATTTGCAAGAATACAAATAACATGTACCAATACGAGACACAGAGTAATTATTAGAAGAAAAACATCAATACGATCAGCAAATCGAAACTATGTTGAAATGAAATCAAATGAATTAATTCATATAGAAATTATTAAAAATAAAAACAACATATTTACAACTTTGTACTTTATCTTATGATATTTTCTATTATTAAAATATACTTACTAATTGAAAAACGCTTATTGGAATATCTTTATTCATTTCTTTGATCACATCATCTAACTTTTTATTCTTAACATTAGTTTTTTGCTCATTGAAATATTGACGCCAATGAGAAAAACTAAAAATAATGATGAATTCTTATATGTTTTTATGAATATTATGTATTTATCAAATCATACATATCATTTTCATTGTCAGTATCATTGTCAATGGGTAATTTGTTAGATGTATTTAATAGTGGTTCTTTTTCACTCATCTTCTTTTTAAATATACACTATTAGATGAAATACGACACTTGTTATGAGTTTATGTATTACTTGAAGAGCAATTTAATGTTCTGCTTCATTGATTTTATGTCTTTTATCTATTTTATTTTCTATTGTTAAAAAAGCGTTGGCAGTACTTATGTTAAAGGTAAAAAATCAAAGAATATTTTTTTTTCATAAATGTAAATATAATTAATATTTTCTTCTTGCCTATCCCATGTAGTCGTTGATTACATTATTTTTTATTTTAATGTATTTTCTTCCATTATAATGAATTATAATGACAATAATTACATGACAATGCAATCAACGATTATATGAGAATATCGCGTATGAGTAATACAATATCATTAAAATTTAAGAGACAAGAAATTTAATGATTGATAGAAATGAAAACAAAATAGAAATATTCTACGTAAAAAGTCATTCAAATCTAATTCGAAAGTGTTTCTAGAGAGAAAAAAAAGAATAAATTGTCAATTACTTTTAATCTTTTTAGAAGTATGAAGTTTTAACTTAGAATTTTATTAATGTTAAACAAACAATATATTAAATTAAATTAAATTAAAGAAGTATGAGAAGTGAAAATGATGAATCTAGTTCTACAAGAAAATATTTTAAAGAGATAAAATTTTCTCTTCTGATTATCATTGATTACGAAATAGTTCGATAATATCAATGATATTTTGTATAAGACTAAATATAATATGATTCGATTTACAAATCAACCGATTATAAATAAAGAATTATTTCAACTTGTATTCTAATATCAAATTAAGGATAGATTTATTGAATAAAAAGTAAAATTTTTAGTACCATTTATGTTAAATAAATGCAATTATAGATTGATTAGGATTCATGAATGTTTCAAATAACAAATTTCTTAAATATATCACAAAAAGTATTTCATAGTCTCGGTATAAATCTAATCTAATATTATTTTTGTTCAATTAATATTGTTTTAGATAACACAAATAGAATTTATATTATTGAAAACTTTATTTTTTTTAATAAAGAAAGAATTGTGATGATGATATTCTTAATATAGGTAAAATTCAAAATAAATATTGATCAAAAACATTTTGTTTTAGTATATAAAACCATCTTAAGGGTGTGGGTGAAGGCGCCAGTATTTTACTTCTTTATCGTATCATCCACACTCACACCCGCACCCATCCACATTCACCCTTTCTATCAGTTAATCAATATGATCTCATTTTTAAGAATAAGATTTCTATCAAATAAAAGATCAATTTAAACAGAAATATGAACAAAATAATTATCAGCAAAGAAATTTTTCAAAAAATATTGATAAATAAATTCTATAAGAAAATGATCTTCAATTGACCTAGAACAATAAGTTATTTTTATTGTTAATCAACACCATAGAAAACAATTCCTCTGTTAACTTCAATATAAGAAATTTATGAAAATATCATTGAGTTATTTTTGACGATAATATACTTATTTTCAACAAAAAAAATTCACAGTTAACATTGTTTAGTTAAATACCATCGGATAATCATTCATATTCTTTTAATAATATTATTCTTATCAACAGATCGTTGATTGACCATTAATATTACTTTATCGGTTTGTTTTATATATCGAAATTATGAAAAGCGTATATCATAGATAGAGAATTTCTAAATAATCAACTTTTCTATATAGGAAGGGTGTGGGTTTGGGTAAAAGCAGTATGAACACAAAACACCCACACTCACACCCTCATATTTTCGTTTCTTCGTATGTGTCGCAACATCTGAGATTACTATTCGATAGATCTCATCGAGACGCATCTGGCACACATCGTTTCATAATTGGCACAAGTGATAAATCGAATTGTTTTTACCAAAAACTCGAGTCGGTCGCTAACTTTCCTTACATTAATTGAATTCAATTTCTTATTTTATTACACAATAATGGTAGAACACCCATCTCTGATAAATTTATTCCAATAAATATACAAATGAAAATGAAATTGTATTTAAACAAATGTTTTATTTTAGTTCAAGTTATTTTTTCAAACCCAATGTTGGTACAATAAGAAAAATGCATATAGCAGCTGCAATAATAATAGCTAAGAAAAACCAACAACATAAACATTCACTAAGTCGTGCTCGTTTACGCCATTGATAACGTTCATGATCTTCAAATTTTAATGATTCTTCACGTTCAATTAATTGTTTCATTAATATATCTGTTGCACCATTTAATTGTCCATCATTTTCTAAACTATTTGGATTTATACGATTATTTAATGCACGTGTTAACATTGTTACACGTGATAAACGTGCTGGTTGTTGTTGTTGTGTTTCATATTTATGTCTTTTACGTAACCAATTTGATACAAAATTAATTCCACCATAAAATATTGAATGTATAATATGATCAAAAAATAATGATAATGCTTCAATCATAAATAATATTGTTAAATATTGTATTAATAATGGACTATGTGATAATTGTTCAGCTTCTATTTTCTTATCAATATATATAAGAAATAATAATGTTGCAAATGTATTTAATAAACCAATAATTAAACGTTGATGAGCTTCAACAGGTGCAAAATAAAAAATAAAAATAAAAAATGAAAAAAATAATGTTGGTAATATAATTGTATAAATATGAGATTCACGACGACGTTGAACTGATAAAAATATTGTTAAATTATCTAATGTACCATTTTCATTTGTATTTATTTTAGCATCAATACCTATTGTTCGTACAAACCAACCACGTGATGTACTAGTTTTCATAGGTTGTTCAATTTGTTGTATTGGTAATGGTATATTAGTTGAATTTGTATTTAATTCTGTATTACCAAATATTGCTGTCCATACACTAGCTGAACGTGCTTGATGAGAATTTGTTGATGAAGATAAACTATGAATATTTTTTTGATAATTTAATTTAAAAGTTTTTTGTGTATTTTGCATATTAAAACGTATATATTGACGATCAAATGGATAATATGTTAAATCTATTGGTGATGCTATTGTAAATAAACCACGACGTGTCCATGTAACAAGACCATCACGATTAATCTTAGCTGATTCACGTTCAATATTAAATGATATTGATTCATCATCAAGAAAACGTAAATCAGGCAACCAAAGTGATTGTAATGTTGATTTTGTTAAAACAATTTCATCAATATCATGATAACGACTGCGTGTATCATTTGAATCCCAATGAAGAAATTCAAATTGATAATCCATACGTATTGTTGCTCGTATAACAATTTCATTGGTTGCACCATCAATTTTGATTATGTCATGAATAGGAAATTGTAATTCAAATGGTAATGAAGATTGAGTTTCACGTAAATGTCGAGCTGCTAAGCGGTATCTAAAGCAATCAAACTATTGGTTGAATATGATTACATGTCTTATATAAGTTATAGATCTTCAAGAAGAATTCACTCTCGATAGACATCGTGTTGCAGACCAACGGATATTCAGAGTCAAATAAAACAGTAATATTTCAGTTATTATTTTCGCACATGTTCACTGTTAAAATCAAATATGAACACACAATTACGATAATTTTCAGAAGCATATTTCTCGTCGAGTAAAAATTTATTGAATTTTAGCATCGTAAAAAAAGTCAATCACTAATCCTATGAATTAATCTAGTATCGTTTTTATAGAATGTGTACGAAAGATTTCAATTAAATCCTTCAATGATATAACTTAACATTCTTCAAATTACTCCATATTTTTCTTTACTATTCAAATCATTAAGAAATTTCATTCAATCTCTATTACCGATTATCTAATACAAGCAAACGAAAATAATTATCGTTCTAATGTACTCATTCTGACGCATAAATCAATATAGATGTCAATTTTTTTCTTTCAATAAAATATATAATAGAAAATTTTTCATAACATACCTTCCAGCAATTTCTGTTAATAATTCATGTTTGGGATCAACATTTGTTATAACAGGATCGACAGCAGCATGAATACGTATAATCATAATTGTAAGAAACAGACGAAGTTGAATCATCATCTTTCTAACAATTGTCGAATGACTCTTGTTACTTGATTTGTAATCAATATTGAGGCGCGACGTATGGGACAGTTGATATTTACTTGAGGATCGAAGAACGACACGAAAAAAGAAAGAGAGAAGATACCACTGTCCATATATATATATACATCTATCTATCTATCTATATCTATATATACAAAGTACACAAACCTACGAACGAGAATGATAGCTATGTTATATTAATTGGTATTCAACGATAGAGACGAAGAATAGACACGACTATTTGACGTGTCTTAGCTCTTTCTATTTTCGATCGATCGATCGATCGAAAAATTTAAATAACAATCTTGAAGATAATCATTTCAGTCGAAGAACAAAAGAAACTTGTACAATCATCTCTTTGCTTGTATTTATATATACATATACGTATATAATTTTTCGAAAAAAAAATGAATTTATCGTCACACGAAAGACTCGATGGGCTACAATAAAACTGGATTTCTAGCAAACAAAAAAGAAAAAAACAAACAAATAATGTTCACTCGCTTTTTCCAAATTCATGTCGATATTTTTCAACATCAATAATCCAGTTTTTTATACTAATTTCTTTTTCAGGTGACATTAAATCATTTTCTTCAATATATTTTTTTACATCTGTATATGCATAAGATATATTTGGATCACGTGATACATATGAAACAACCGATGATTGTCTTTCATCTGAAATAAATCCTAATGTTGATACTGCATTTGTTGGAATAGTTGATGGTTGTCGATGTCTTGGTGTTGTTGAATGTTGTTCTTTTGATGCTGTTGTACCTCGAATAGCAAATCGTGTTAAATGATTTTTCTCAAGTGCTGAATCACTACGATGAAGTTCTTGTAATGACTGATAATTAGCTGCATTTGCTTGTGTATTCATTGTATTTGATTTAGTTATTGAATATGGTTTACGACTAGTTGCTATATCAAATGTTGAACCATTTAAACGTTGTGTACTACTCATTGGATTCGGCTGTTGTTGTTGTTGTTGATGAAAATAATAAGAATTTTCATCTTGTAAACTACTTAAATATAAATCTCCACCACTTGTATCATGAAATGATGCTTTCGAAGAAACATAATTTCGTTGTTTGGATGGTATTTGTCGTGGATAGATATTATGATCAAGACGAGTTGAATTAAAACTTGCATGTCGTGTTGGTAAATTGAAACCATTTGAACCAGATGTTTTATCTAAATTAATACTTGTACGTTGATTACGTGTATTAGTATTCTGAAGTTTTATTCCCGTTGATCCATGTAAATCTGCATTACTTGAATCAGTTTTTATATTTTGATGATGACCAGTTTGTGTTGAAAGATGAGGCATTGAATTTGTTGCATATTCATGTGTTATTCCATTAGCAAGATTACGTGATGATGTTGATAGTTTTGTTTTTATTGTATTATCAGTACGTGATAGTGGATTAGAAACATTTGAATTAGTTGGGTGATCACTCCATGAATAATCACTTGATCGATAAGTGACTAAAATTGAAAATTAAATATAAAAATATATAGAATATTTCTTTATCTAGTATCAGTTCAGAACGTGCTTGAATTAGTTCTATTAAAACAAAAATAGATCATTTATAGATATGTCAAGGAAGTCCTGCTGCTTCTGCTGTTGTCATTATTCTGATAATTTTTCAAATCTAATGTCTAGCTCATTTTTTTTTGACGGATATAATTTGTATTGAATAATTATTCTATAGAAATAATGTTAATCGAACAAGAGATAAATATATTGAAAAACCAACAGTAGTTGTTGTAGTTTCCTTTTTTTTTTTTACTACGAATTACTTCGTCGCTGTTGATTTGTTGTCGATTGTTGTTGTTGTTGTTGTTGTTGAACATGCTGCCGTTTTGAATTCGAATGAATATTTGTTGTTCTACCACCGTTTAAACCACGGAAATCTCCGAAAGAAGATTTTGAATACGAATTGATTGATGGAAACCTATTGTTTGTGGAAAGATGGGAGTAAATTAATTTACTAGACAATAGACAAACAAAAAAGAACGGGTGATAGATAAATTCCTTTACTACTGATATTAGCAGGCAGCAGGCAACAACGTGACACTATATTCCCTTTTTTTTTACTTTAAATAAAAAACCTGTTGATTTTTTTTCTTATTGAAAGACATAATTAATCAGTTATATTGCAAAACAAGATACCGGGTTCTTTTTTAAAGATTCTAACTAATACTCACAGCATTTTCGCATTGCAATTCTTTAATATGTATTAATAATCAGTTAATCAATAATAAAAATGATGAATAAAATACAAATATGCAACAGTAATTCGTGTAAAAGATGTGCTGTCGACAAAAGTAACAAATCGAAGGAGAAGAGAGGGAGAGAGGAGAAAGAAAAAAAAGTATAAAATCAAACGAAAATTTTAAACAATACTCCTTGAAAACTATTGTATCATTTCCATTGTTGTTTGCCCCTTTTTCATCATTTAATACTAACAGTAAGTGATGACGATAAGAAAAAACAACAACAAACCGTGTTATTCTATTCATACATTAATTTTTTTCTTCGTCTTATGTCTGTCCTTCCATTCTTCTCCTTTTATTTTTAAAATAATCAAAACTACTCTTGTTCTCACAGACACACGCATACCCCCTTGTTCGCAATAGAAATGTCATTAATCTGCTGTTTCTCCTTGTAAATTTCGTCTGCAAATCTTCACAATTTAATATGAACAAACAAGGAAAAATTCCCTAGATAGATATTTAACATATCTGAGATTGTTACGTCGTTTTTAATATGACAAAAATACATACCACTTCGTCGTGCCATAATTTCCAAAAAATCGTCTGAAAAGTAACAGACGCTGTAATGAATGTTGATATTCTATATATATATATAAGAGAAACCACAAATCTGATTGTTTCTTTTCACTGTTACAGTAATTAAATGATTACACTTGTCGCGATGGTATTGCCTTTATAATGTGTGCAAGGTAACGCAACACAAAATTTAAAAAAAAAGAAGAAATAAAAAAACAAATTCTTTTTCTATAAATTTCAATGTGCGTTTTATCGTTATATTTTTACTATAGAATGTTCATTGGTGGCTTTTTTTTAGTTTTTGATTATTAGAAAATAATCAAATTATATTGTTCTAAAGACAAGTATATTTATTATTTATGACAGATACAAATACCAGATGCAGAAAAAAAACAACCTTATATTAAAAAAAACAAATTTCTAACTGAAAGAAAATTATTCATTTTAATACTGTCTTCTTTTGAGAATCAAAATTACTATTCAGTTAATTTTCTGTGTATTACAGAACTATGTTTTCAGTAGAAAAATACCTCGTTAGACAAGAAAATACTAAATATATAATATGTTAGATAAATTTATATTTTTACATTCTGTGGAAACATAAGTTTACAAAAAAAACACTTTTACTTAATTAGTCTTTTTTCCATTTAATAATGTATTTGAACACTTGAAACTTAAGATTGAAATGTCTATAGAAGAACATTTTGTTCATTATTATAAAAAGTATCTTTATTAAATAGATATTCGGATGTTGAGAAAAACCAAAATTATCTTCTGTAAAAAATAGTAACATGTCAGTATTTGGTGGCTGTTTAAAGAAAAAATAAATTAAAATTTTTTCTCTCTCTCTAACATTTGCGTAGTTTCACACAAATATTTTATTATAAAAATGTAATTACTAGAAAATTGATCCATTCTTTACATAGTTTCGTAGCTGGGTAATATTTATATTTAAGTATAATCTAATTTACATCAACAGAATAATATTCTTCGTTTTTCTTGAAAATAATCCATCAATAAAATTACCCATGTACTTACGTCAAACATAAACAAAAGAAGATACCGTACAAGTTCGTTGACAAAAGACTACATAAACAATTAATAATACATTTCAATTCTCTATAGCTTCTGTATATACTTGTCGAATAATTTATAAACTCATTTGTGAAAATGAATGTATATATATAAACTGGAGTAAGATAATTATTTGATTGAAAAAGAAAACAGATCAATAGAAATTGAAACCTTGTAGATAAAATTTTATATTAAAATAATTCAATCGGAAAAATACACTTGCTTAAAAAAAGGAGATTATATATTTTTGATTTTGCGCATAACTCTAGTTCATATAAATGATATATATATTTTTTCTCTTCGATTATTTTAATGTATCAACGTCGATTGATTGTATATATTTTTTTTTGTTAGAAAAATACTAACATAAGTCTTTGACGGGTTAATACCAATTGTTTTATAAAATAACCAAAATTCATATTATGAAAAGAAATGGAAAACTATAGTTTTACTACTTTATAAAAATCAAATGACGATGATAGAAAATAATAATCGGAAAACTATGTCATTTAATGTAACTAGAGGTATGTATCATAAAAAAAAATAATAATAATAACTATATTCACACATATTATCGATATTTATATATATATATATGCATACAGAATATTTAATAACGGCATTTATATTTGTTGTTGTTTTTTCATTCTGCAAGAAGATCAGCTAGTCCATTACAACATTTTGCAACATGATCAAGATAAATCATATCATCCATCGTTTCTAATTTTTTATTACAATATGGACATTCCAATTGTTTAGCTCCGGGAGTCATATTTCGAGCTTCCATACTTGTTGTAGTTAAACATTTTTCAAAATGATTGATTATTTGTTCCTCAGTATAGGTTAATGGAAATTCAAAATTACATAAAGAACATCTTTTCGTTATGTCATTCAGTGATTCTCTAGTTGTTGGAGGTAATTCATTGACAGTTAGAGTTTGATTTTCATTATTTATTGTTTCTAAAATAAATAATAATATTAAGAATATTCAAAGATTAATATTCTTACCTTGTTGTGATAAAAGTTCAATAAGTTTATCAATTTGATCACGTTGTGTTTGAACTAAATTTTGAAGTTTTCTACTATCTTCTTCCATTTCCATCCATCGTTCATAATCTACTATTGAATCTATATATTCCAATTTTTAAATAAATAAAAAATTATATGTCATTTTAATAACTTACTTATTCGATATAAATTTGTCATAAGACTATTTCTACTATCATCATCATCATTGGTAGGTGATACCATAGATTTTTTTAAATGACGAATTTTAGTATGTAATTGTTCATTTTGTTCTTTTTCATCAAAAAATCGTTTATCATGTAGAACAGATATATCATCAAATAAAATATCTAAATCTTTCATTTTTTTTTGATTTGAAGAATATATTGGCCGAATAAAATCAGTAAGACGTGTTATTAATTGTCGATCACAATCTAATTGAGTATTCGATTCTTGTTTAAGTTCTTTTCGATAATATTCTAAAATTTGTTCGATTTGTTCAGCACTTTCAATTAAATTAGAATCAGCAAATTTATGATCATTTTTAAAATTAGTATTCGAACGATTATTAATAGGTTTTGAAATAGCTGCTTGGGTATTACTTGGTGATTGATTAGTCTGTTGTAAACGTCTTAGAACGGGTAAACAAGTACTCATTGGTTCATCATTTTGACCATATAAAAATGAATGATTTATCATAGTAAGATCAGCATCTTCCTAATAAAAAGTAAATTGAATGAAATATTATAATTAATTAAAATTACTTCATTGGAATTGTTGGAAGAATTGTATACATTCATTGTACATAAAAATTTCGATAACTATTTTTTAAATGATCTAAAAATATAAAAATTTTAACTGAAAATATCATAATATATTTATCACGAATCTAAACTAATAATATTTTTATTACAAAGGCATACATAGATGATGACACATGAGTAGATAAGGAAAGAAAAATGACTAATATAAGAGCATTTATTTACCAATAAACAACTGGTTCAATAGTAAAATTATAAAAGATACGAGAAATCATTTCTGTATAAGTTATTGACAGGAACATTCATGCATTTTATATTTAATTCACATTTTTCTCGCATGAATAGCCATTATAAAAATCTCTGAATAATCTAAAACTAATACATTTTTTGCTATTCTGTATACTTCATATGATTCATTCGATTTCATAGCCATCAGTATGCTAGTAATAAGTATGATACAGTTATTGTCACGTTTCATTGCTCTTTCTGTTTGTCTATTATTATGGATCATATAATTTACAAGACAATTTTTTTGTGAAATACTTCAATTGACACTCACCCATTAACACCTCACATCTTCTTCCACCCTTTCAATTTCCATATACGTTTCACACATAAATAGATTGATTTAATAATTAACAATCCATAAAAACCCATAAACAACACAAGAGAATGATGTTCATTACTCAAAGACGAACATTCTATATTTGATATATTCATTCTTGATTTTCCCGCGTGAAAAAAAGCAACTCATTTTGTAAAAAGAAAAATCAAAAACAAAAACCAGTTTTGATAAAATTCTAAATAATTATTCTTCGTTTTTGATATGTATGAGAATTGATATGTTTCTTAAATTGTTCTTCATCCATTGATAATATATTAAAAATAGCTTGGCAATGTGGACATGTACGAATAGATTCAAGAAAGACGCTTTGTTTGCCTGAATGATCAGATGGATTGAAACCTATCAGAGAAAATTCTTTTTTATCAAAACTAATTATATAATTAAAAGAAACGAAACATAATATCTATTATTTGTTTTTTTTTTATTTTTATTTATATCACAGATCGTTTATATATGTATATATATATATAAGCATATCGGAAGACTGAGAGAAAATTGATTTTATTTGCTATTTAGAAATTATCACCATCCTCAGCATAACAATATGTTAAATGTTGAAGATAAGCTTTTTCATCATTGCCTTGATATTGTCGACTACAATTTGGACATACATATTGTTTAGGAGCAGTAGGAACAACAGGATCATCAATACCCGCTGAAGATAAACATGTTTCGACATGATGAATTATTTCAAACTCATTAGCTGTGCTAAGAAATTGATAATTGCATATAGGACATTTTTTTATATCATTATATGACGAGATTCGAGAAAGTGGTGGTAATGTAGATGCAATAAATGGAAGGCGCTCTTCATTGTGTGTATCATTATTTACGGTATCTACAAGTGACTTAATTGTAAGAAAAAAAATCAAACAATGAATGAATGGATCATGTACCTAGTGAATGAAAATCATTGGTTGATCTTTGTAGTGTATCCGTACCTGAATCGTGCTGTTCATCGGATAGTGATTGAATTGTAGCCACAAGTAAACGTTCAGTATTATTACTATTAGTGGGAGCTAAATTTCGTGTGCGAATCAGTTGTCCATCGAAATGAGTAATGATGTTTCTGGTTACAGGAGTTTGTACTGGTAAAGGCTCTGATAAAACAAATTAATATCATTGAATATTTCTTATTAAAAATAAATCGTTAATTTCTTTTTTAGTAAAGCAATCATTTACCTTTTTGTTTAGAACTACACTAATTTTCACTATATGACCCAGCAAAGTCATGCTTTTAAATTTCAAGCTGAAAATTTGTATACAGGAAGGCCTTGATGATACTAACTTGTATGAAAAATTCAGAAGTTTTGGACTAATTATCTCCGAGACATGAATGTCTCAAAATATCAAACTTTTATAGAAAAGTACCCACACTTCTATACATGCCGATCTCGGAGAGAATTTATCAAGGACTTCTAAATTTTTTTTGTATAAACTAGTATCATCAAGGTCTTTTTTTTTATACAAAGTTTCAGTTCGAAATATAATGAGCTGAATGTAGCCGATCAACTCGATTGAATAACCCAAGAACTTATTCTACGTTTTATTTCGAAGTCGAAAAATTTATCTCAACGATACTCTATATGTGTCATTTTCGAAGATGCTAATTACAAATAGACTAGATAATTTTATTATATTTATACTTCCAACAATTCGACTTTTAGTCTCGAATTATAAGTATATTAATACACAATTTTGTTTCTTATAATATTTCAGATTCTCTCAAACAAAACTAAATTATTATTTCAATATTCTTCGCTACTACTGAAATTGTATACTTAGTTCACACTCGATTCCTATGCTCACTTATTTCAGTTCCTACTAAAAAATAAATATTTAGATTAACAAATTTCATGTTATTCTATAGAATGTTAACCTTCTTTGGTTAAAAGATTGATAAGTTCATTAATTCGATCACGTTGTAATTCAACTAAATTCTGCAGCTGTCTTGTTTCTTCTTCCATTAACATCCATTGTTCATAATTACCCACAGAATCTAAAATTCTATTCAATTTAAATATATTATTATACAAATAATCTTACTTAGTCGATTCACTTTTGAAAAAGTATTTCTACTGTTATGACCTTCACTTGCTGATGTTATTAGTAATTTTTTTAAATGTAAAATTTCACTACATAATTGATCATGTTTATCTTTTTGTTGAGTAAATCTTATATCTTGTAAATCAGATATTTCTTCAAATAATCCATTTAAATCATTCATCTTCTTCTTTTTCATAGTATATAGAATTATTCTTATATTCTATGTTTAAAAAATAAAAGTATATAAACTTTTCAATTCATTTTAAGATTGCAACATATTCGAATAAATTCTATGCTGGTCGAACGAAATCAAAAAGACGTATTATTAATTTTCGAGTACAATCTAATTGTGTATATGATTCTTGTCTAAGATCTTTTCGATAATAACTTAGAATTTGTTCAATAAGATGAGCTTCTTCCAATGGATCATCATCATCAAATATCGGATTATTCCTTTCATTAAAATATGGTGGATTATTTATACGTTTTATTAAATTTGGATGATCATAAAAAAATGAATCACTCATAAGTGTTGTATCACCATCATCCTAAATAATAAATCGAATTTTCTATATTTATTTTTTGTTTGAATTTACTTGATTCGAAGGAACGAAAGAATTATACACAGCCATTATAAATAACCAATGATGTTTATCTATTATCTAGAAGGAGAAATATCTGAAGGCAAATATGAAGAAAAACAAAACGAATATTCACAGTAAATGTTTACATTTATTCTTTCTTCTTTTTTTGACATATACAAATATGATGAGTCATCATGGTAGAGATTGGATAGAGAAAGAAAAAAAATCACTAATAGTTGTTCAGGTAAACGCGTACAGAATATGTACAATTTTTTTTATACATTCATATATGTATGCATCAATCAATGAACTTGTAATTTTTTATAGTATAAAAATAGACTAATGAAATTAAAAATAAATCTAAGAAATTTTTATTTAAAACGAAATTTGGTTAACGGAGTTAAACTTAATGACATCATCTTTTGTTCTCATATGTCATGAATAAAACAAGAATAGATATAATCATATCTATGCTTTTCTCTTTTCTCATCTATTTAAACACAATACAAAATACGATAACTCAAGTAACACGATAAAAAGGGAGGTAACGAAACACGCAAAACACAACGTTAGTCAGTAATACGAAATATTATCAACAAAAAATATCTACAGTTTATACTATAAGAAATGGATGATTTTGACTTATTTTCAGCACAACCTTCAGCACAACCTTCAGCAAAACAGGAGAATGACTTATTCGGATCAGAAAATACCGGTGAAAAAACAAACAATCAAAATGATGATGCATCATGGATTATTGAAAATGTAAGAAAAATGTATTTTGAAAACAAAAAGTTTTCAAAATTTTTATTTAGAATCCTAATACAACAACATCATATCAACCCGATGTACTAGGTGAAGATAATTCAACCTCAACAGGATTAATTCAATCTGATGATGTATTGAAAAGTACAACACCATCAACATTCGACGATAATATTTTTGATAATACAACACCAGCAGCAACCGATAATTTCCAGGATAATACAACAACACTCAATGATAATTTCATGGATGATATAACATCATCACAAGCACCAACTGCAACCAACAATAATCTCTTGGATAATAGAACAACATCACAAACACCAATAACATTCGATAATAATGATGAATTTAATATCTCATCATCGACAAATGAAGATATGTTTTCTAATAATTCAACAAACGAACAAGATAAATATTCAACGAATATGTTTTCAACTGAGGTTACACCTTTACAAGCAATAACAAAAAAACGTGAAGAAGAAATTGCCGCAAAGGATGCAGAAGAAAAACGAAAAATTGATGAATTAAAACAACAAGCTAAAAGTGATTTAGAACGTTGGTATACTGATCGAAAACGACAAATGGAACAAAAACGGCAAACAATGCAAAGTGATGAAAATGATTTACGTACGAAAGCATTAGAAAAAAGTACTAAAGAACAATGTGATTGGTCAAAAGTTGTACGTTTACTTGAATTTACAGATGGTACACAATTATCAAAATCAAAACGAGATGTAACTCGAATGAAATCCTGTATGCTTACTGCTAAACGTATGAATGATACTCAAAAACTAGCAAATGGTGTCTAAGGAAAAAAAACCATTAATCAAAATAAAACAGACAAAATTTTGTTTTTTAAATGTTTATTTCATTCAAATAAAATTATATTCCTTAATTTAAACCAGGGTTCATCAATACAAGGACATTTGCACTTAAAAAATATAGAACAAGATAACTAAAAGTAGAATTTGTCATAATAGAAAATGATAACAACGGCACGAAAGACGCATAAAGAAGAAAACAGTTTATACTTTAGTCATCTACCTGAAGAAGATGATGGTTGCATATATTTTAACTAGTTCTTTTCATACACGAAACTGTTTTGTCATGATTAACGAATGAAAAAATTGAGACATACTATGAAACTATACTAAAACAAAAGCATTTCTATTCTTCTTCTGATCCTTGAAATTTGAGTCGGAATTAAACTTATCTCTTATGTTTATCTATGAAAAAATACGAGTAAAAAACAATGATGACTTCATAATATTATCTATCCTTATTCTATTATCTAATGAATAAACAATGACTATCTAGTTTACTTATTATATTCATTTTTGTTTCTAATTAATCAAACTTATTTTCATTCTTAAATAAATGTATTGCGAAAATTCATCATAAGTCAATATCTATTATTTCAAAATTTGTTTTTTCATCCAAATAGTCGGAATTCTTTGAATAGTTGAACCTTTCTGTAAAATAACATGATTATCAGTTGTTGATTGTGTTTGATTAGCTAATAAATTTTTAAATACTTCTTCATTTCCATTGAATAATTTACTTGAAATATTTAATCGAACACGTGGAGTTGTTTCTTCATAACCACATTTTTCATAAAAATGACGTTTATCAGTTGTTGTTAAATAAATACATTGAATTTTTGATTCTCTTTCTTGTAGTTTATCTTCTAGAAGTTTCATTAATATTCTTCCATAACCTATCAAATAAAATCAATATACAAAAAGAAATATTTTATTTAATAGATATTCATTTATTTGTAGATATATATCTAACCATGTCCTCTTAATGTTCGTTGTATACAAACTGATTCAACAATAATACTTTGTTCTTCATTTAAAAGACGATCAATATAACAATAACCAATCAATTGATTATTATTGTTATTATTATTATCAATGAGAATATATGATAAAGGAAGTTCATTACATGAACGTTCTAAACGTCTCATACGAATTGTTTTTGATTGTGGCCATTCATCATTGAGAAGTTCGAGCACGCTATTTTGAAAATATTGATTCTCATGCAATGGTAATAATTGAAGGGTAGACGTCATAACATAATATGTTGAAAATATGTACTTGTCAGTGATCGGAAATAGAAGAGTGGAGTAAAAATAACATTAGACTCATGCCCTTGAATTCTAGTCGATAAATATAAGAAATTGGAATATAGATGTCTCCCCTTTATTGTCAAACAAAGAAAAGAAAAAATGTTCATGACAGTAAATACATACACACATATACGATCATTATATGTTTTTAATTATGGTTTTGTACAACACAGTAGGCATACGGATGGAGTTAATAATGAAACGAAACAAAGAAGAAACAAAAAAAAAGAAAAAAACATATTTGAGCTTTGACATATTCTGTGTTAAAAACACACAAAAGAAAAGAAGAAGAAGAAAAAAAAGAGATGAACGAAATTTTTTCTCATGCATTTTGTTCTTGTTCGATGTTTTTCAGATCATCAACATTCTAGAAATAAAATTAAAATATTCAATAGAAATTATTATTTATTCATCATACTTCTTTATCATTCAATATAACTCGTTGAGAATTTGTATTATTATTATCATCATTATCATTATCATCCGATTCTTCACTTGCATGTTCAAGCCATTGTAACCATTTACTAACTTGAAATAAAGCTTTACCTTTACCAGGTATATCATCATTAATATCTTCTTTCCATTTAAAATATGCATCTTCTTCAATTATATCTAAATCATATGAATAAACAAACAGACGTAATAATAATTCTTTTGGAAAATTATTTTTATATGCTATTAATTGTAATGAATATAAAGCCCAAACTTGTTGTTCAACTGTTTTTAAATATGTTTGTAAACATTGACGATGCATTTCAATACAAATCTTCTCTTGATTTAATATTGTTTTATCAGTTTTACATGATGTTAATGTTGATGATATAGCTGTTTCATAAATACATGTAACTAATGTTTGAATAAATGATTGAGTATTTTTATCATAAGATTTTGTTTGATGCTCAACAAACGATAGAAATTCATTAGAATCAATTGATGCTGATGAAAGTTTATCGAGTAATTCAACACGTAATTTTAAATATGGACATAAATATGCTAAATGACGAACTTCAAGTACTTGAAGAAGTAATGTATCTTGACGTTCACTTTCAGGTAACATATCACGCATATTTATACGAAAACGTTCGAGTAAATTGCACCTTGAGAAAAAAATTAAAGATTTGTATGGAAAATCCGAATTTAAACAAAAACAAAACGTACGAGGGAATGTAGGAAGTATATAAACTAGGAAAATGTCTAAGAGAATATGGGCGCAACTTGCGATATCAACTTTTTACTAGAATTTTCCTTTAGGATCCCGTAAAAGTCAAAATTTCTATGTGAAAATTTCGCCATAAAGTTTCACGTGCGAATTTTGATTTGATGGAATCCCATAAGAAAATCTCGATCTCATATTCTTCCAGGTTTTTCCTACTCTGTATACTCCCTACTTATGGACGAAATTTGAGCTTTCTGACACCTCAGGTGGTTCCCTCGTTAGTCTTATTATCATCTATTAATAGCATTCTAAATCGGCGCAAGAATATGATATTCGGTGATCGACTGATTATTTTTTGAAACTTTCTAGTTGCATCATTTAACGATCGAGGGACTTTCTTTTTATAGAAAAATCTTTAGAATTATTCAAGGCCGACTCTAATAGACTCGAGCTATTCATACAATGATACAATATGAAGATTAGAAATTGTTCGACTGATTCTTTTAAACTTACATATAATTTTCATCATTATTACAAAGTTGTTGCAATTGTTGCAGTATAAGAAGAAAAAGTGGATGATGTTGTCCATCTTTCAGTAAATCGCATACATCATTCAATGATAGTAATATTGCAGACGACGATGTACTCTTTTTTGTATGATTATTCCCATTATTTTTATTTGACGAATCTAAAAATAGAATTTTTATTAAATCAAAAATAGAAAATTTTCTTATTTTATCCTACCATCTTGTTCATTCGTTAGACAAGCCCATATAATATTTGCAATAATTGTTGCTAATTCTGATTTAAATAATGCAAATTCTTTTTCATAATCATGTATTTTCGAAAGTATATTTGTTAGAACATTAATACATTGTTGATTCGTAAGAAATGAATTTTTATGTAAATAAATTAATAAACGAACAATAAATAAAATATTTTTATTATGTTCATGTAATGATTGATCAAATAAATATTGAATAAATTCTACTATTTGACTTTTTGATAATTTTAATGTACGTAATTGATTATGAATAAGTTCAAAATCATCTAATGACATTTGAAGAAATGTATTATATTTTGAAAATAATTCATCACGTGTTATTGCCGTTGCTGTTGTTGTTGTTGTTGTTGTTGTTGTTGTTGTTGCTGGTGTTGTTTGATTTGAAGTTTTATTTGGATGATGATGATGGTGATGAGAATCTTTTGATTTATTAATTAATGTTGATAAATTATTCATATTTTTTGTTAATGGATGATTAGCAAGAATTTCAGATGTTGATTTTTTATTAATATCATTTGTTGATTTCGAAACTATAGGTGATTCCATTTCTTCTCGATCTGTCATTGGAGTACGATGATTAAATGATTGTTTTGGACGAAGACTAAATGATGATGATGATGATGTATTTGAACGATTTGTCGATCCTCCATTTGCTGTTAAACCATTTGTATATGTTGGAGAGTTTGATGAACGATTATTTGAATGTCCATTTGGAATTTTATGTGATGTATCAGTTTCTTTTGATGATGATGGATTATCGAATGGATTGGTTAAACTATCATGTTGACGAAGACGAGATTTCGGAGAATTGGTTGAACGATATGTTTGACGTGGTGCAGGAGTATTTGATGATTCAGTTTCTTTAAAAAAAATCATTCGTTTATCTACACATTGAATGAGACAAGAGGTTTTTTATTAGTTCATCTCTCATAGATGTCACAGAATAAACCTTCTTATATTTAATCGAGGTTACCGGGGGTAAGGAATTCTTATGATCTTATACAGAAATGAAAACAGTCAACAGCTCTCCGTAAATAATTACTCAATATATATAAAAATTCGTTTTTTTTTCTATTGTTTAGTATACTCTATCATTTTCAAGTACCATCTTTCATGCTGATTTAATAACAATAAAGTAATAATTAGTTTTTTATTCTAAAGTAAATTCTGTCAAATCTAGATAGTTTCGGATGAATTCTACTAATAGTACACAATAAATTACTCTTAAGGAAAAAATTTATTGACGCTTTTATTATTTCCAAGGTGAATAACCGTGATGGAAAATAATATTTTTTGCTAATAATATCAAAATAATAAAAAAAGGAAAGAATCTTGAATATTTTTTTTTCTATTAATAAAAATCGAATTGATTTATACCTGTTGATAATGGATTAAGTCTTTCAAATTGATATCGATCCGAAGTAATTTGTGTAGCTCGTGGACGTTGTAATATAGAAGGATGAAATTGTGGTCGTTGAAAAAGACTTGTTGGTGTTGATGATGATGTATGAAATGGATATGTAAATGGATTTGTTAATGAAGGAATCATTGAATTTGTTGGATTATATTTATATGTTATTTGTGTTTGTGTATTACCATCTTCATCAGTTAATTTTGTTTCTTTTTCAATAAACGCTAAACGTGGCAACCAATTATTTGATCTTAAATCAACCATATCTTGTAAAATAAATTTAATTCGTAACGGTAAATCTTGTTGTGTTTGAATTTTTTTAATACGTTCTAAATATTGATCCATTAAATTTTTTCCTTGTCCTTGATCTAATTTTTTTCCAACTGTTTGTAAAATTTTTCTTAAACATTCAAGATCTTCACATCGTTCAGTTAAATTATCATTTGTACCACGTTTTAATAAAGTTTTTAAACATTTATGTAATATTGCTTCGGATACAAGATCAAGTTTACCTAATTCACCTATTAATTTGATATTTCCAATCGCTTTTTTACGCGCTTGAATACGAGCTTCTTGGGGATCCATATCGTCGTCAGCTGGATTCGTTGATGGCATTGATTGTCCGAGAAGAATACGATGTTCAAATTCGTATTCACACTTAGCTAAAAGTAACCGTCGAAATGTACGAATCGGTGCATCTGCTGGTTCAAAATTCGGTGCGTCTCGATCCAAACGACGGCACAATTCAGCATCTATTGAAAAACAAGTAAAACATTTAGTATTATAACATTTATTTTCTTTTAGTTCATCTTTTAAATTTATCAATACATTATTACATATGACATTCCATTTTGTTGTTTTCTACATCATATTATACTCTATCCTTTACTGAATAATAGAAATACAAAAATCCTTATGTGATATTTTCGAAAAAATAAATAAACAATAGATCGTTTTTTCTCAACAACATTTATCAATACTTACTAATCTATATTAGAGATTTTTAGGAAAATTCTAAATAACATTTATATCTGATAGTTATCATTTATATATATATATTAAATTGATACTTATTTACAGATGTTCTCATATTTCATACATATATAAAAACAAATGGATCTAATATTATCATTGTACACCTACGCTTAACGTTAAGCACGTACTTATAGTTATGTATAATATCTTATTTCAAATAGGAACGTGATAAATATATATTTAAAGATAATAATAAAGAAATCTTTTAATTGATTAACTTACATAATGAACAATAATTTGGTTCGGCTAATGCTTTATCAAATATAAGTAAAATAACTCCTTTTAATAAATGTGGTGAATCAATTCCAAATGATGGATTAGCTAAATCATCGGCAAGTTTATCGAATTTTTCTGGTGTTAATTTATTAAGTAAAGCACGACATCGACGAAAAACATCATTATCTTTATCTTCTTGTGTACGTATTAAATTTCCATTTGCTTGTTGATGTGAACGTAATAATGTTTGTGGTATCCACTTATTATTTATTAAAGATTTATTTAAATCACTAGTGTTGGAAGAAACGGCAGCAACAGCATCATCAGACAAGCTGATAATACCAGCTCGATTCGGCCCAACGGCTTGAAACTGATTCGTGGACAGTTTGAATGAATACGAATAAAATTCTGTTTGAATAGTTGTTTGTTTTGAAGATAATATATTTAGATATATATATCAAATATATAAGAATATAAAAAAGTCACAAAGATATATATAATTGATGTAATAATCTATTAAGAAAAAACAATAGATTTCGAAATACGATGAAGAATATAGGAGTGCGTTTTTCTATTTAGTTGTTTATTTTTTTTTGTTGTATTCATCAATCAGAATTAATAAATATTTATTAAGCAATCAGAAAATAGTTTATGTCCTCGATGAGATATGAAAATTATTTATTCAATAGAAAAAAAAATGAGAAAATTAATTAATTAAATTATATTGATAAGATAAAAATTTAAAATAAACCTAAATATTAATATGACATCTATTGATATATAGATGTCAGATGTTGTTGATAATGATGATTAGCTTCTTTTTTTAAAAATAGATAGGTTAATGCGTACGAAATATAATACTTTGCATAATGATTTTCTAATCATTTTTTTTCTCTAATAATTTACTTCATAATACTGTCGACAGCTTCATCATTTGCTAAGAAGCCGAAGAAAAAAGAATAATAGAAAGTTTTTCATGTTGTTTTTAGAGAGCAGGAATATTAGAAACTTGCCGTAACGATATAGAAAGAAAAAGAAAGAGAACGAAACACTATAGTATTCTTTTTTCCATTTCTTTCTTCGTCTCTCTCGTTCTCTCCCTCTCTCGCGGCTGTTTCTGAGTGAAGTACGTTCGCTCATCTGGGTAACAGCAGTTGTACAATGCGCTAATAGAGTCCGGGCAAAAGAACAAAATTCTTTAGCATTCATCAATTTAATATTTTTCATCCTGCATGAAAAATAATTACGAAGAACAGAGAATAAACTATTATTAGTATATCTGTTTGATTGTACTGAATGCCTTGGTCATTATTATCTCCTAAACGTAACATAAATCATCTGGATTTATTTTCTGATTCTATTCAAAAATCAGAAAAAAATACCAATGAAAAATATAAATGTCAAGAATTATCAATACCAAAAAGCAATGTATGTTATTAAATTTAAATTTTGATAAAAAAAACTAATAGAATATAATTTTATTCAATTCAGTCATTATTAACAAGCCTGAATCGTGTTTGTTTTTATTGGAAACAAATTATTTATAATAGAATTCGTTCTATATTAACTCTTGTACTCGTTAGTATCCTTAATACCTGGGCACGATTAACTTATTTTACTAGGCAAACAACATTCGATCGATCAACACCTTCATTACCATGGATGGCAATTTTATCATCAATTAGAACATTTGAAGTGAGTAAATAAAGTATTTTTAAAAATACAAAACATCAACAAACTGACATATATACCTGAAAAGGTATAATTATTCCATAACTAATAGTTATTTTCTATTAAATGTAGAACTCTAAGAGAAAAAAAAATAACATAATGTATGTTTAGAAGCAAATGTTTGTAGCACGTGTCAGTTCAGAGAGTTCAAATAAAGACGTGAATCAGCAGAATAAAGGAACCAATCATTTTTCTGGAAGGGATTGTACGCACTGACCTATTATGTCTTTAATACACGAGGAAAGCAATTCAAAGATATATGCATGCATATCATGATATATATCGTTCGCTAGAATAAAAAAAACATTCTTTCGTTCTTCGTCTTATACATCTATTATCTATTGTATTCTTCCCAACTGATTCTAATCGTTAGACGAAGTGAGTATACATATAAGATTGTATGTCTCTTCAAAAGTTTCTTTTTACCTTCGTTACATCTTCATACTATTACCTTTCTTTTTTATTTTATATTATGATCAATGATTTTCAAGGTACAGTCTTTTTTTTTTGATACAGATAGGACATTAAGATAAATAAATATATATGTGTATATAATCTATCTTATAGATTGACAATATAATGCGCCGAAGATTTTATCTTTGATGAAGTATATATATATATGTGTATATTTAATGAAAAGAAAACCGTAGCAGTAAGTCAAAATAAAACGAATGAATAGATTTAATCGATATGTTACTTCCAATTCGTTGAAATATCGAGTAAATCAATCTCATATATAGGTAGACAGTATATTGTTAAGATCAATTCATTATATTAGTCTGTAAAAATTTAAATATCTAGATAGAAATATACATTAATATAATTATTTCTAGTTTGTTCTATAAACAACTATTTTTAAAAGATTTCCTTTTGTGTACTTGTTCATATTTTTATTTTTATTAAATTGAAAATAAATAAACTACATATGTGTGCTTCTAAGTAAAAGAAAATGTAACATTTAATTGCTGTACTAAAAGTTTATTTTTGAAAAATCCATTTCGTCTAAATATTATTTCTAAGACTTCATTCATCTATTTTTATTCAAGGCAACTAATAAAAGACAAATAGTTTATCATCAAAAAAACGCAATAAGAAAAACAAATAAAATCCTTGTTTGATTATAGGAAGAAGAAGAAAAAAATAAATTAATGTCTAGTGATTTACTCATTATTGTTTGTATTGCTAGGATTTCTTTCATGAAGGGTATACATATATTATCCTATTATCATTTTGCGTATAAAAAATTATTGGACTATAATCTTGTTGATGACACACACTGCGTGCGTGTTTTACAATATATTCACCTTGAACTTCAGATTTTCATTATATAAGGAGCGATGGTGTAGAACAATTTTTTTTCGTTTTGCTTCATGTTGATTGCATGTATTATCATTTTAATACATACGCCATACTTACGATCATTCAGTCACTGCATGATGGACTTATAAAGATATAAGGGCGTGCTCAATCGTCCTCATATGTCGATACTTATTTATTTGCGTGATTTTATCCAGATAGCAGAAAAAAAAAGATGAGGTTTCGTTTACTAATTATAGTACATAGATGATCTGTTACTGTTTAAGTTGTATGTCTCTGTAGGGATAAGAGTTATCGAATGTTGTCTTATAATTTTCTTGGTGATAAATTTCTCTTCCATCTAATTCATTTATATAAATCACTTCGTATGGAACAACTTGCGAAATTACACAACGTATGTATTTAACATAACCCTAACATCCAGACTGTTATGGATATTACAATTTTACTCTAGTTTTCTTATGACATGAATATTATAGTAAAAAAAAATGTTTCCGATTAATAAAAATTCCGATTTAAATACGATTACTAAAGTCACACAGTCTGTATCTGTTTTATATAATTTGTACTAGAATAAACACTCTTTGCGTAAGTACGTAGTATGATAATAAAGTTTATCGTGAATATTTTGAATTGTTTTGCTTAGCTTAATCTAACTCAAACAATAGAGAGATCATCAACATTATATCTAATCGAAACCTTATATGTGATCAAAGGTCTCTATATTATTGAGTATTAAGGTAGTCAAAGGGTTGATTATTTATATATATATGTATATATCGTTATAGTCATTCACAAATGTTTTTGATATATGTGACTAAATATCTATTGTTTGGTATGATGATTGATAACTAAGTTTCATTCTTTTGACTTCGATAAAAAAAAATCGGGCGTCTTTCTTCTTGTCTAGTATTATATTCATAATGTGATAGGAGAATATTTTTATTTTTAAAATGAATTTTTTTGCTAAGCTAATATTGCATAAGCCATTTTTATTTCACCGAGATAAATAAAAAAAAGGAAAAAGTCGATCAGTACGCAATGTAATGTGTTTTGCTTATTCCAAGGTAAAAGAAAAGGAAAAAAGGTAAAAAGATTTTTTTTTCTTTCTTTTCTTTTCTTTTCTATTGTAATTTTATTTTTTTGTTTGCAATGATAAACATAATTTTCGAAATATTAAAATAGCAAAAAATAATAGGAAAATGTGTTGCCTTTTCTCTTCCTCCTCTCTTTCTCATTTTATTCATGTACTCCAACACTCCCTACATATATATAGTTAGATAAAAGGTTTCATGTATTCATAAAAACACACCTTCTGATAATGTTTTGTGTTTCTCTAACATAAAATCATCAACAAGTAATACTATTCGTTTATTTTGATAGGTATTACTTCAGATAAATATAGAAACCAATCGTTCTAAAAGATCGAATTATTTACACCGAAAACAAGATATAAGAGAAAGAAGAGAGATGATATCTACTACTTATTTAGATCTATCTCGCATGGGTTTCGTTCTACTTTTTTTTCTTCTTATCTTTCTGTTCTCAGATATATATATACATACATACATACATATATATACAAAAACCTTCGTTAACAGCATTTACTTTCTTAAAATAATCCGTCATGCGTTAAACATGCATTCACATCGTGGTAATAGATAGACCAATCTACGAAAAGAATAGGAAAGCGATTAGATAAACACTCTAACAGAATGAACTATTGACCGATGCTTTTAGCTATATATGTAACCAATTTCTTTTTTTTTTCACACAAAAAGAAGTGTAAATAGAAATCTTCTTCGCATGCATCGATCACGCGCTATTTAACTGATCTAAGAAGGAGAAATAGATACATTAAATATATTCTTTTTTATCCTTCGCATTGAGTATGCATTTTATCGTTCGCGAACTTGATAATTTTGTAAGAAATAAATTTAATGAATTTATATTTTAAAAAATGTCTTTTTTTCGTTTTTTTTTAGGAAGATTTAAATCATTCATCAACATCCATCATTAATTATAATCCACAGATTGATTTGCCATCATTAGAAAATTCAACGATGGCACATATGCTTGTTCAACAACAACAAACCCATCGTACACCAAATATGAATTTACATCAAACAACATCAACTGAAAATGAAAGTCTTTTACCAATGTCTCATTCAGTTGATGATCGTATATTCTATTATAAACCAGATTCAACAAGTATACTACATTTTCTTCAAAGATTTGCATCCGAACCACATTTACCTATGTATCCTTCAACATCAAATGGATATTTGAATAAAACTTCACCATCTTCATCGTTATCAAATATATTTTTACCAGTAAATGAGACCAAAGAAGAACAAGAACAAGAAGTAAATACTATTAATTGTGACACAATTCAACCAGTAACGATAAAAGATGTTAAAAGGTATGCATTTCATATTATGAATTAAAATAAGATTTCTAATATATAATTTCTTTTAGTGATACATCAGATACTATTTCATCAAAAATAATTGTTCCGAAATTAAATGAAGATATTTTATTGAAAACAAATTCAATATTGAATACAGAACGTCATTTTCGCAGGCGAAAACGTCGTTCTTCATTAACACATTCTTTATCAATTGATGATTCTGAACTTCTGAAAACAGATTCTATTGCAAAAATTGATGACAATAATAATAACAATAATGAGGAGGAGGAAAAATTACAAGAAATTAGTACAGATTCACAATCACTTTCATTAGAAAGTCTACAATTAAATGAAAATAATGAGAAAAAAGATATTTCAGTGGAAACTGAAGAATCAAATGAAATCATAACACCTCCAAGTCAACTTCGATCAAGAAGTAAGAAAAATCAATTTCTATTTTATATATATATATATAATTTTTATTTCAGGATTAAGATATCGATTCCATCGTCACACACCATCCATCACCACTCAAGAATCTATACCTGATAGTCCTGTTGAATTTTTTATATCTGATGAAACACCTAGCTCACCACAATCACAACCACAACCACCTACACCACCCCTGTCACCAACAACTACTATATCTTCAACTACTACTTCTTCAAATACTCTATCCGGTGGTCTTAAACGTAATGCTTCAATAGGAACAACAAAAAAGATGGTTCGTTTTGCTGATTCATGTGGTCGTGAATTAGCTCAAGTGCAATATATTCAATCACCAACTGATGATAATTCAAAAGATATTCTATATACAAAAAATCGTCGTTGTATTCCAACAACATTAGATTTTGAACCGAAACCATGGTCATTCGATTTTGCATCAACATCAAAACAAAATACTGATATTCGAAAAACAAAACGATTCTTTTGTTTATATCGTCAACCAAATTCCGAACATCCAGATATATATTTACATGAAATATGGAAATCCCAAATAAAATTAGAACATGCTGATATACGTCCGAAATCTACATTAACCGGTGAACAATCTCTTTATGGTACAGTATGGGTAACAAATTGTGGTTATTGGAAGAATGTTACTGTTAAATATTCATTTAACCGTTGGTTAAATACATATGAATATGAAGCACAACATCGTTGTCATTCAAATGATTTTCGTAATATTGATCAATTTGATTTTAGTATTGATATACCTCAAGATGTTGATAGAATTGATTTTGTTCTACGTTACCATGTTAATGGACAAGAACATTGGGATAATAATGAAGGAAAAAATTATACAATTGAAACTGAATCTTCTTCGGTACCTCAAACAACAATTTCATTACCACATGATTGTGATTTTAATGAAATGAGGTTTTATTAGAGTATAGAAAATGAAATTTCTTTCTCATTTACTTTTTTATATATAGCATGTATTTGTGTCTTTCATTTCCTTCACTTCTTTCTCTTTTTGTGTTATTCATCCTTTCTTTCAGTCACAAGACGTGTGAATTATGTTACTAGAAGAAGAGATATGTATCTTTGTGCTTATATGAACTGGTTTCTCTTCTTTCTAGATGGTAGTTTTTTTTTCTTTTCTTTAAATTAAATAAAAACATATTCAGAAATGAAATTCATATAGTAAAGATACTTTTTTTTTCTATTATGAAATGAAATATGATTAATTTATTGTGATTCATATGATGTCTTTAACAAATAACGAAATTATTATGTAATATAATATTTTATTCCTATCAGACATTGAAAATTCCTTGTTTGGTTTTGTTTTTTAACAAACATTTCAAACCTCTTGAAAATCGAGGATAAGCATACTTCATTCTTTAAAACATTATTTGTTAGACAAACATTCGGATTACAAGTAACAATCATAGTAACAATACTAACATTATGATTTTATTTCGAAGTATACACAGTACACTTCATGTTTAAGAATTCAAGATGGTTTTATAAGTATACTTAAAGCAAAATTGTATAATACGAAATGATTCATCTGTATTACAGATAAGCAATTGAATAATCAATGAACGATTACGTTTATGAAAAACTATTGAAATTTTACAAAAAAACAAGATAATCGAATGAATCTAAATGAATAGGAAGATAGGTTCAAGGAATGGCAATTTTTTTATAGAATATAATCGTGTAAAATCAGGGTCAGTCTAATCGAGCACCATCCCACTTATCAAAAATAAAAATAAATATTAATCATTACTATGATGATTTCCGTCCTATTTATTTACTATAACCACTCGGAAAAGTTAGTTGTTGAACAATATCAGTAGAATAGAGTCTAGACCTATTATATGGATACTTATTATGTCTCATTATGAAATATTCATGAAAATAACATTGTGACATTTTATATTTCGCAGTGTTAAAATAAAGTGAACTTTGTTGACATTCTCAGTGTTTCCTAATTTAAAACATGATAAAACATAAAAAGAATGACAATTTTATGCTTTTTTTGGTATATCAAATTAACTGCCTTGCCTCTTCTTCTAGAAACAATTAGCACTAATGAATAAAAACTTGTTTCTATTAACTAGAACCCATACAATTATTACCGTCGCAATCAAATATTACTAATATTACTCATTCAATTACGGATTTATTCCTATCCAATCAAAATAAATTGTACACTTACTTAAAAAGTACATAAATGACGATGTTAGAATTAAAAAGTTCATCATTACAGAACAACTGAATAGAATGTGTTAACCATAGATAGAGAGATATTGATTTGAAAAGATCATAAATGAATAGGGTTTTTCTCTCATCAAGAAAACTATCTACATCACATTTAATATTTCAATGATATAACCTGTAGACTGCATATATGTCAATGAAAAATACAATTCATTATTATTTTATCTTTTGCGATGTATATATTTTAAGATGGAAAATTATGTTCACAATCTGATTGTCATTTTCATGATAGTCGTACATGTTTTAATACTATAATTTTATTACGTTGTTCATATATATATTAGTATGTATTATTACAAATAATTAATAGAAAACAAAACTAGATTTGTTTATAAGAGAAAATGAAAATTTTGTATCTATCCATTTGTTCTTGGCCAAGCATCGAAACCAAATAGAAGACCAATAATTAATGCAACACCAGATAAAATTGATAAAATACAAAGAATTAAAGCGCGTTTATTAAATTTATTTGCCTCTGTTATAAATCCATGACGAAATCTATCTTGTGCTTTATATGCAAATGCAAAAGCAAATAAACCTATGCAAAATGAAAAAAAGAAATCTTTGAAAGAAATAATTTTTGTTAATTAAATTAATATACCAAGTGGAAAGAAGAGAATAATACATAATATAGCTAACCATCGCCAATCAGATGGACGACGTGGTGCTTGAGGATCAAATTTTTGACGACGATCAACTAATGTTGCTGTACTTCTTGAATTTAATGTTGGTGTTTTGACTGTTGATTGACTTGAATATAAAGGATTTGTCGGTCGAACTTGAGGATATTCTTTGAAAAAATAAAATATGAAATTCTTTATCTTTGTGTTAAAAAGTTTCTTTTACCGGAATATCTTGTTACTCGACTTGGTACTGAACTTTGTGATCGTTGATCATTTTCAGTTGCAGATCGATTATTATTCAAACCATTTGTTCGAAGGTTAATTCGTATATCATTAAATATAGGTTGAATATTATTATCATCAATTTCCGGACGCATCTTAAAGTGAGAAAAATATGATTAAAATTAAGAGGAAATTATTTCCTACCATGTTTTGCTCGATTTAGATAGTTATGTTATGCGAAAATCGAAGATGATTTTGTGCCTCTTCTTCTTCTTCTCAACTTGTTCTAGTTATGCTCTTTTCATTGTAAAAATGTGTAGTAGCAACAATCGGTCGTTGAAAAAGAACGAAGCGATTGATAGTCATTCATACATAAGTTCTCGTTTTGAGAGAGAGTGAAGGTTAAATCATCCAACAAAATAGGAAGATGAAGAAACATATATGTATATATATATATATGGTGTTATGTAATTGACACGTTAGTGCTACTCTCTTACATCTATTAGAGTTTCGGTTGAATACACTTGAAAATTTTCAATTACAATATATATATTGAAGAGATCTTCAAAGTAGACAAATATTAATAACCAATTGTTCAATAGAATAGTATAACAAAGTAATAGCATATTGAAGGATTTACAAGATTAATTCAAAAAACATCCTTAAATTCTGTTCAACTATTAGAACTTTTAAAATATGAATACAACGATTCAATTGTTGTATATGTAAAGAAGAAGCCGATATGAATTTGCTTGATAGAAAGAAACTGATTTCATTTATGAATAATTTTCCATACAAATTTTGAAAAATATTTTTTAATTTAAATTATTTCGATGAAAAATGATAAGTAGATTTTTATTGAGAATTAGTATGATCAATTGAGTTTACATTATAGAGAGATTTTAATTAAATGATATTGGTCAGGAATTCGTGAAAGTCCTTAACTTCTTAGTTCATAAAGTAGAACAGCTGACTTATACCAATGAAATAAAAGAATTTAAGATGTCGCGTAATCGAAAAAAAAATTTAAACTCGAAAATCCAAAAAAATATTCGAGTGATTGTTACTAAATAATAGTAGAGAATGTTTCAATATATGAAATATATACTTCTTCAAATAAAAATTTCATTAAAATCGATAATCTATCAAAAATATTAATTTATCCAATCAAATGTATATGAATTTTCGAATATAAAGAATGATAAACCCTTTCCTATATTCATCTATGTTATATATAACCTCTTTTTTCTTATAGATGACTGCCTATAAACCATGGGAATCAGTACCATCAATGCCCAGTCAACCATTTCCATCATCTTTTAATACAATCAACAATGGATTTATGTCCACTAATGAATCTATGTATAAATATCCTTTGATATATCTTTGATATTTTACTGTATATTTTAGACGAACACATGGTGTAAATCCTCCGCCACCACCACGAATAATTCAACAACCACAATCAATAGGCGTTTATCCTGTAACAAATTATTCAAATCCTTACCATGGTCAACAATCAACCTCTTATAATAATTATTATTCGAATCAGCTAAATACACCGAAGAGTAATTTTACTCAAATAGCTCTAGAAGAATCTCGTTCAGCATTTAATTCAATTGAATCTATAATTCAAACATTTCATTCGATAACATCTATGTTTGAAACAACATTTACAAATATTCACACATCATTTCGTACTATGATTGATTTATTTGATCATTTTACTAGACTTCGATCTGAACTAACAACATTATATCCATTAGTTTTATTTTGGCGATTTTTTAAACATATTTTTAATCGTTTATTAAAAATTTTTCATTTACGAAAAACTAAAAATTTTGAAGATTCATGGACGACTATTTATAATAGTTTACAACAAACAACTGAATCAACAGAAAAAGTACATAAACAATCATCAAGTTTACTTGTTGCTCTATTTTTTATTGTATCATTTGGTACACCAATGTTAATGTTAAAATTTCTTAATTCAACTATTAAAAAACGACAAAGTTTGATAATTTTTTTGTTCTATTTAATTAACTTATTTTCATATGAATATTTTTTAGTGAATAATAATTGGATACAACAAGAGAAGAATCAAGCATGTGTAGTGGCACTTTATGATTATGTTGCTAGAAATTCGGATGAATTATCATTTACACGTGGTACAACTATTTATTTAGCACCGTCTGGTGAGTGTTCATTTAGTTTTTCATCTCATTGTGCAAATAGACTTAACTTTTACTTCTGATAATGATCCATCGAATAAGAGATTTTCAATGTTAGATATAATAATGAAACAGATGAATGGAAAGTTCTTTGTGCCAGTATGTTTGATAAATATACCGTATAGATAAGAAACGGTATCGATATCCATGATTGAGAATTTATAACATTTAATATTCGAGAGATCGTGCTAATATCTGTTTTTATACATATTGTGAATAAAATCTACTTTAAATGGTAAAAAGATATTTGTTTTTAGCATATCAATCAACAAAATCTTGTTGGTTTTTGGGTACTATTGATCATATTCATACAGGCTTGATACCAGCTAATTATGTTCAACCACTTCGAACAAAAGCTTCATCTAATACTAATTTTCAATCACAAACACCTTATAATGTCAATGTAAGTTAAAGATATATTTTCTTTGTTTTGAATAATTCATTATTTTCTATTATAGTCAGATATTTCTTCTCCTCATGTGCCTTCTGTAAATACGGATATTTCTCAGTCTACTAGTCAAGGAGAAGAACAAGCAATAATCTCTTGACAGAAACTTTGTGTTTGTATTTTATTGTTAATGTCGATATTGTTTTATTTTTAAAAGTTTTATATATTTTGTTTTTCTTGTCTTAATCTCTTAGCTCGTTTAGATAAATGATAATAACAATATAATAAGTACAGTTCATTTTTATAAAAATTTTCAGGGTGATAATTCTTTCATCAAGAAAATATTTGTTTATTTGAAAAAAATTTGAGTTAAAATAATGTCTTAGTTTATTGGTAAATATTAGTTATAGAAATAATGAATTAGACAGAACTGCATCATATTTGTATCGTACATTTATTTCAACAAAGAAAATATCACTTATAAAAAATTTGTATTTATTGAAAACAAAGTGGAATATTGTTCTATTTTAAATTAAGTCGTAAACAATCTTAAGCTGGTTCCCATGTCCATGTACCATAATCAGGATTTTGTGTATATACACGAACTGCATCTGTATGATCACATGGTTCACAACCAGGAGAATCTGTTGCTTGTTGTCTACAACAAACCCATCGACCTTCTAGAATAGTACCACCCATATAGTATGCACGATGTTTTTTACAGCCACCTTTTGTAAATTCATCAAATTGTTGATTACAACGAGTACATGTTTTATAACGAGTTTGTCCTGCATCATTATATAACGCATCACGTGCATCATCAAGAAGTGAACGTAATTCAAATAATTCAGCTGAACAATCATCTATAGTTTCAGTTGGTTGTGCTTGAGCTAATGTACGTATAGCCTGTACGATGACATCAATCTTAATAAAAAAATATATACAATAAATAATTATCTTTACATTGAAAAATTATTTTTACTGTTGGAACACCATTAATCGGTTTTTCCAAGTAATCATAACTAAAAGCATTATATTGAGGAAAGCCTTGAATTGCTTCAGTCATCCATTGTTCCATTTGAATATTAGGTTGTGTTCGAATAATGACAAATGCTTTACCACGTTTAACAGCATAACGAAATTCCAATTGACAATTAGTAGATTCAACATAAGGTTTTGATAGAAAAACAAGCATTACCTTAGCACATTCCACACCTAACAGAGGGAAGAATAACTATGAATGAATAATAAACTTTTGCTACGACAAACCTGTTGCCATTGCGTCATTTGTATTCCCTTGCATAGAACCATATATATCAAACCAAGCCTTAACTTCACGCATTAACATATCTTCATATACTGTACGAACAAATATCTGATTATCCCATTGATAGCTACAAATAAAACATTTAGATCGCAAGCTTTTTTTCTATACAAATTCATTTACCTAATCATACAATCGAGTTGAACTCGTTTTGGTAATCCATATTCATCAAGAATTGGTGGAGGTGCTTTTATATCCATACGTGTAATTGTATGATGAATATGATTAAAAGCAAGTGTAGCATTGGGTTCTGCTATGGCAACACGAACTGGTTGTCGATCCGTTGTCGAATTAATAGTACGTACTTTACGTGATGGTGGCCATGTTTGTAATTTATTTTTACATTCTTCAATTTTTTCTTTTAATATCTTCATTTCTGTTTGTTCACGTTCAGCTTGACTAGGACGTGGTTGACATGCAATCTATTTTTTAAATAAAACATAAAGATTTGGATTAAAATTTTATTCACATGACTTACTTCGACTGCTACACGGAGATCAGTCATACGATTACTATCATAGAGTGGTTTATATGCACTAACTTGAGTATAAATTCGAAAATATGTCGCACCGGCTACTGTGATACCAAGCCAATCTTGAGGTTTCCAATCTATAGCAGACATAACAGGTATAATCGGTATTTGAAGTTGACGAGCTTCTTCAAATGCTATTCGACAAGCTGGTTTTTTTTCAAATCCTGCTGAAAGAATTGGTATGAAAACGATACATTGTCTAACACTACAAGTAGCATTTGCATCTGAAAGATTTTCAACTAAAGCATTTAAATTTTTTGCAGAAAATTCATTATATATTAATTTTGCAACCGGTAAACCTTCATCAGTTGTACAAATAAGAACAGTACATGGTTTATCATTATAAATAAGATTTACACGATTATTATCAGTTTGTATCTATAAATACAATCAAATATTATATATTTATTTATTGTAATATCATACTTTTTCTGGATCGGTAACATTTTTGCCAGTATTCTTTTTATTTTCTTGAGAAGAAATAATATTAGATAATTGTGCAATAATATTTTCTGATACACCATCATTTGTAAGTACTATTGATTGAATAGCACTAGCTGATATAGCTCCTAAAGCACCATAAGGCTGAAAATTTGACTCAGCATAAATTGCAATAACTGGTTTGCGAACATCTTTTGCATAATTAATCGTTTCCATACAGAAGGCTGTTTGTTGATACATTCGACTAATATTAACAATAAATACATTACACCAACGAATAAGATTTGCACGAGCAACTATTGATTCCGGCGTTGTTTCATTAATAATATAACATGTAAAACGATGTTTACTTAAATTATTTTTTATTTGTTCAGCAATTTGCTGTTGATTAGTATGACAACTAATAAGAACATTCATTGTATTCAACGTTGAAGCTATTTTAAAAAATATATATATATATCTATATTTAATGTGCTTTATAATGGATTACCTGTTGTAGAGGCTTGTGGCGCAGGTGAAACACGTTCTGTCGTTTGTTGTTTTCGCTGATCCTCTTGTAATGATCGTGACGATGTTGATTTGACAGCAGCATTAGGGACGTGTTGTGAATCGTCGGCTGCAACGTTATTTGAAGCCCCACACCCCATCAAGAACTTTTTTAAGATAGAGTGAGGTTGTCAAGTAAAGAAAAGAACAAGAAAGATCGTGGAGAATTTTGTCAACAATACCCATTAGTCACCTATATTGTCTGTAATGTTCATGGTTACCATTATTATTCTTTTTTTCTTTCTGTTTTTTTTAAATATTTTACTTGTTTTATCACATACTACAAGTGGAAGTTATAATTGACAAAGAAACTTCAAAATGTTGATTTAAGAGCGCGAAAGCTTTTTAAAAAAAATTTATAATGCATGTAAATAATTTGTCCAATGAATTATCTATTGATTTACTTACTCATGATCTTGATTCTCGATCATTTCTAATGTTTGTTCGTCGAGAAAATGAAAGATATAGAGAAATTTCAACATCTCAACATAATCGTCAATATTCATTAAACTATACTTCATTTGATCATGCACGCGGATTTAGTCGTATGAATAAATATATTAATCTATCATCAAATTCTTTAATACCATCTCATATGCTTAGTGAAAATGGTCGAATAATTACTAATGATATTAGTAAACAATTACTAGATGATAATTTATCTATTGTTCGTCGTCAATGGAAAAAATCAAAAAAAAACTTATCTAATCAAATTGAACATATACAATCAGATTTAAATTCACATACAAATATGTCTGTAAAGAAAACAATGCATAATTGTCAACGAGCACTCTTTAAGTGGATTGCTAAAACTAAATGAAATATTCACTCTATTAAATTAAAGTGCAGTAAAATAGAAATTATAGTATTATTTATCGATCACATTGAGTATCTAATTATAATATCCAATATTAATCTCATCCAATTCAATTTAAATATCAATCGATATTCGTTATTAATTAAATTTATCCCATTTCCTTATCTTTTCGTCGGACATTTCGTGTGAAAATCATTCGTCACTTAGATTACATATGTTATTCTACGATGTAAAGGCCTTCTTAAAGCATATATGAGTAACAATTATTTGGCATACATTCAGTACACGTATACTTTTTATCGAATAACATAAAATATATAGCGATCAGTTTCAAATAAAACAGTATATATTAATATGTAACATAAGAAAACACTACTGAAATTCGATCATTGATATTTTCATTATCCTATCCAAATTGTATTACTAATTATTAATATATATTAATTATTAAATTTCAACGAGAGACTTATGAAACAAAAATCTGTTACATATACTTTGTATATATTAGTAATGAATTGTTAGCGTAAATCTCAAGTGTATTACACATAGGAATATACATATATAAATACATTTTTTTTTATTAAAATCAATTATCCTTTGTGAATTACATATCTAAATATACGAAATAATTCGAATCCCTTGACTGAGATTTATTTATTTAAAAAGAATTTTCTTTTTACTAAATTCAAAACGACAACAATAAATCATCGATTAATAGTTCGAATCGTGAATTTTATTGTTAGAAATTAATCTGATGTAATTAATCATAAAAGATAACACATCAATTATAATATATGTAAAATCGCATAGGAAAAAACATACGCTATGAGTGGGTGGTGAATTAGTTAAAGTACGGAAATAAAAAGTATGTTTGACTCTCAACATACTTCCTCCCTCTCCTTCTTCTTCTTTTGAGTATTATTCATTCATTATTAGTGATAATTATCTTTTGTCTTAGCTTCTCAATGTCAAACAATAAACTTAGATGCGAATTTGTGAGATATATATTGATGAATCGGATAATTAGTTTTTCTCCGATTGGTTGCACAAATATATGATAGTGGAAATATTCGAAGAAAGAAGAAGAATGAGGCGTAGGAGGAAGAGAAGGATAAAATAAAAAAAGGGATCTAGGGGGAATTTGCTTTCAGATTACTAAACTATAGGTTTTTTATTCCTACGCATAGTAATCGAAAGAATTTCGTAGTATGTTAAACAGTAAAAAGAAAATGTAATTTGAGTAAAAATCTATTTAAAATAATGACGACATTTAATACTAATACAGAAAAAGAACATATATATATGAGATAGATAAAAAAAATCAGCTTGTTTTCATTCTTTTCTTTGATTATCAGAGGAATATCTCGCTTGACATTTGAACTCGTTGTTAACTAGTCTTATTTATATTTGATTTAGTTTTCACCGTTTGCATTCATAATAGCAAAGGAAACATTATCAGCAGCTAAAAAAGAAGAATAACTGAGTAATCTAGGAAGAAAAAGAAAAAGAAGAGGAAGAAGAAGAATGGGTTCATCATAACGTGATGGTTTCTCGACTAGAAATAACAACGACAATTCGACTTATATTGGTGTTACTACAAAATTCTATCAACATTATTCCATTGTAACTATACTTTCTATTAAACGATCATGACAGTAAACGTTTTTCTGTTTTAAATTCATTTAATATAATATTCTATTTTTCTCATTAGTTATGGTGCCTTTTTGTCGTGTTCCTTATTTTTACAACCACAACAGTAAATATTTGTTATATCTTTTAATTTCTAGTTCTATAATTATATATATATATATATATATTCTAGTCATCCTTGTATTTGAATGATTACAATGATGCTTTAAATACTTATGAAAATATAGAAAACTATCCATTAACATCAGACTTATCACCTTTCATGCAGCAAAATCGAATTCGAAGAACATCGATTGTTAAACGTTCACAAAGAAATGCAAATATTCTTTATCGGTATTGTCGTCGAAACGGTCAAGCACCAAGTTTTTGTTTAAAATATGCTGTAAGGATGATATTTGCTACAGGTCATTAATTGCATATGATACACGAATTAATAAATAATATTTCCCTTGAAGCAAAAAAAAAACATCTATTCATTTTCTTCTTAAACAATAATTTCTCGATCACATAAATCACCACTGAAACCATGATAACATTGACAGAACATATATTGATATCCTTCTCGTTGACGAGATAAACATGTACCATGATGACATGGATTTTGTTGACAACCACAATCTATATCATTTGTAGAACATTTTGACACATGACAAGACATTTTCAAATAGATATGATGACGACGATGGTATTTAACATTAATTGAACCATCATTTTGAAGAAAATTAGGAGAAAGGAGAATACATTCTAAACGATAAAAAAAAATTCATTAAAATCTTTCTAGAAGAATTTAATTAGCTATATTTCTATTCTGATGATGTAATTAAGTCTTCATACATTAGATATTCACAATATGAGGTCTGTCATAATTAAAAGATGTTAATTGTCATGCGTCACAGTATGTGAACAAACGACATCCGATCTTCTATTTCTTTTTTTTTCTTCTTCTTCATTACAATATATACGGGTGCGAACAAATGCCCTTTTAGTTTAGGATTATCGAATTATGTCATCGAACAAAGAAACAATGTACTATATGAAGTACTCGCTATCAGATATTTTCCAGAGTATTCAAGGCAAATAGTTAATTATTTTTTATCGTATATTTCATTTGAATGTGTGTGGGTAGATTTTTATGTGATATAAATAACATGTAATTTACATAAAATATTATTCTTAAACTTACGAGATCGTCTTTCAATAAATTCAATACCCTAAAATAATCTATTGTAATTGAAAACTATGACGTTAAGTTTATTTACGAACAATACAATTAACCATTCTTGAACATAAATATTGACATTGAATTTCGGATATATGAGAAAATGCATGAATTATTTCTTTTGAATGTTTACTAGAATAAAAAAAATATTATATATATATATATTCAATTGATATTTAACTTACTGTTGACCTTGACCAAAATCTTTAAAATTACATAAAGGTTTATGATCTTGATCAAGAAAATTATTATTTTCATTAATTTTTATATGACATGATCGTTTAGCAAATACAGTCCATGTTTTACTGGGTGAAAGATCCCATGGTTTAGTTGAACGTAGTAATTGACATTGATTACGATGTGAACCACGTAACTGTATGTTAATTTTTTTTTATAATATATATGAATAAAAAGGAAATGATTATTATCTACTTGATATTGCATACCAGCACAATAACGAATAGATGAACAAAGTTCTTGACAAGGTAAATGAGATATACCAATTAATGTATAAGATTTAAATATCATTGATGTCTGAGCATGTTGCCATGGTAATCTATTCAACAACAAAAAAAGATTAAATAAAGAGTAAAATATTATGATATATATACACATCATAATTGCAATGAACATTTGATACTTGTATTTGTTTATTATTTGATAATGAAAATTTTCCTAAGCAATTAGAAAATGTTGAAAAAATATGATTTGATCGATAAGTTTTTGATCGAGAATGTTTTTCACGATGTTGAAATAAATGACAACGATGAGATTGTCGATTGAATGTTGCTGTTGAACATAAATGATCAATAGAACATCTCTTTTCGCATGCTTGTTCATTATTAATAGAATGATCAATATCTAGTAAATAATGACCAATTGATGGTTGATGATGACGAAGATGTACAAGACAATAACGTGAAGGATTTGAAATATGAGTAGAAATATTGTAGATTTTAATTATTAGAATGAGAATGACATATAGACTGTTGTACATTGAGCATTTCGATTTATGTAACCATGGAATCTTTTATTTTGTTTTAATAAAAAAAAGATTTTCTTTCATAATTAATTTCTTAATAGAATTTGAGTTTTTATATGTTACATGAAAAAAGTACATAGAATGAAAAAGAAGATTAAATGTTCGCATAATAGTTATGTGAATAATTCTAAGAATAATTGCAAATAGTAGATGAATATTTTTAAGAACGTGATGTTGATATTGAATTACAAAATATTCGTTTAAACACGAAATGAATATATCAAGGTCATACGAAATTTAGTGCGCTACAGAAAGCGTTACAAAAACACGGCTTTGATTTTTTTCACATTTCGAAATAATTGAAATGAAAAGAAGTGCATTGATAAGAACATCATTCTATACAATTGTTTATCTTATAATCCTTCATTTGTATTTACTTTACTTAGTCCTCACGATTATACAATGAATATCTACAATATTCGATGTAGCTATATTCGAGAAAAATGAAGTATATAAACGTCGTTGATTAAGTTACAGATATGATTGTTTAGATCATTTTACTAGTTGTGTTGAAACTACATTCATGTTTTGTGAAATACAATTCTTTTTAAACATCTTTGATAAAAATTCATGAACAATCAAATATTTTCTGTAAGTTACTCAGCGATGAGTAACAACACTCTGTAAGTATTTGAGATTTTCATATAACACAAAGTTTATCTACCATTCATAGTAGATAATATCGTACTTCTCTTTAATGGTTTTTCTTTGAAGATTCTTCAGAGTATTGTATAAGTATATCATTTATAATTTATTCGTTATCTAACTGATATTGATAATAGACTATGATTATCTCGAATATAGTAAGAGAAAATTGTTATTCAACCAGTGAAAATAGATATGACTTCTTTTTTTCAAAAAAACTATCAATGTATTTAGTTCTGACTATATCGCGTATCAATAGATACGTATTTGATGTAATAATCTTCACACATGTATGTAAAAAATAAATATAATATATGTTACTGTATAACCACGTTCAGTCTATTTTTTCACCAGTTTTATTACAAAAGATGTATCTGAATTAAAAAAATTTGAGCTACTGTTTTTTTCAATTCTACATGATATTAAAATTCAATGTGACATTCATCACAATGCAATTTGATACAATCGTTTCATTTCTTTACTATTCATGATACGTATTTATTTGATAAAATCTACCTTATTTACATGTCAATCTATTCATTTTCATCTCAGCCATTATCCACATAACTATTTCATGTGAAGAAAACGAATAATTTGCCTTTCTTTCCTCAGTATGTTGCAGAGTTACCTTAACATCATAAGATGATTTCATTTAACACTTCCAAACAAATACTTTCAATACATGTTGCATAACATCAAATTAAGAAAAAAACTATCATAACTAAATGCGATAGTGCTATTAAATATATACAAAACCACTTCAATAAAAGAGTTTTATTACTTGAAAGACAAACCCATACTGAACTTTTTTAACCCATACATAAATTCTTGATGATTCAGTTATTTAACTGAAAAACCTTCAAAAATTCTATATAAACTAAAAGAACCATACGTGAATTAAAATAATATTAAACACAGAATCTTTCTGAGTTCACTGTTATTGCAGAAAAAATTTCTGGTTCAATATCATCGGGCACGACTCTTTGCTTCAGCAATAATAAATTGAATGTCTCATTGTTTTACTTTCATCACAGAGAATTTCTTATAGTTCAATATTGCTGACTACGATCTTTCAGGGTATTGCTACTATCATACAAAACGTTATATACTTCGATGTTATTGGACACACTTTTTAGATAAAGAATCTTACAATAGGTTTGTACGTGCTGCAGAGCTACAAAATAGTTGCGTACAAGCTACTTAATTATCTCAGAGTAGCATCATCTCCACCAGCATGAAGCAGAAATGGAAAGCAAAAATTACCGCCACAACACATTAAACTTGAAATAAAGAAGTTTTATTTACGTTTTTATGAAAATAAAAAGCACAAGAGAAATATTCGAATTATCATCAATAGAAATCCATTCGTTGTCCAAATACATTAAATATTATCATTTACAGTTTTCCTTCTCTTTTATTCCGTTCAAGGAATTTAATGACTACATTCTACCAGGCATCATCGATCTCAATCGTCTGGGGATCTAACGCGATGACTGTCTAAATAAGATAATGGAGGTACAGACATGGTATATATACAGATAGAATGAGAGTTACTGTAGTGTGTTGCAATGCATCAGCCAAAGATGTTGTCACATCATATCCGATTTCATTCCATCTGAGATCTAGTGTGGTCAGTGTCTAGATGAAAGAGCGGAAGTAAAGACATGATATCGATAATGGAGAATGAGAATTACTGTGTTTTGCTTTAAGGAATTAGCTAAAGATTGCACACCAACATCTCTGATTTGATTATCTCTGAGATTTAGTGTGATTAGTGCCTAGATAAAAAACTGAGACTCACACGACAAAGTACAGGTGCAGAGAATGGGAATTACTGTGTTGTGTTCTAATGCATGACCTAAATATTTTACTCCTACAGCTCTGATTTGATTGCACCCGAGATCCAGTGTGGTGAGTGTCTACATGAAAAAGTGGAAGTAGAGGCAAAGGATAGATAAAGAGAGAATGGTAGTTACTATATTGTGTCGTAATGCATGACCCAAATGTTGTGCTCCAAGATCTCCGATTTGATTACCTCCAAGATTTAGTGTGGTTAGCGCCTAGATGAAAAACTGAAAGTAAAGCGACAAAGTATAGAAATAGAGAATGGGAGTTACTGTGTTGTGTTCTAATGCATAGCCTAAATGTTGTGCTCCAACAGCTTCAATCTGATTATATCCGAGATCTAGTGTGGTGAGTGTCTATATGAAAAAGTGGAAGTGAAGACATAGTACAGATAAAGAGGGAATGAGAGTTACTGTGTTGTGTTCTAATGCATCAGCCAAAGATTTTACTACAACTTCTCCGATTTTATTCCATCCGAGATATAGTGTGGTTAGTGTCTACATGAAAAAATGAAAGTGAAGACATAGTACAGATAAAGAGAGACCGAGAGTTACTGTGTTGTGTTCTAATGCATCAGCCAAAGATTTTACTGCAACATCTCCGATTTTATTCCATTTGAGATCTAGTGTGGTCAGTGTCTAGATAAAAAAGCGAAAGTAAGGACATGATATTGATAACGAGAGAATAAGAGTTACTGTGTTGTGTTGTAATGCATGACCCAAATGTTGTGCTCCAAGATATCCGATTTCATTGCTTGAGAGATCTAGCGTGGTGAGTGTCTGGGTGAAAAAGTGGAAGTAAAGGCAAACTATATATATGCAGAGAATAGAAATTACTGTGTTGTGTTGTAACGCATGACTCAAACATCGTGCACCATTATCTCGGATATAACCAATGGAGATATTTAATGTAGTGAGTGTCTAGATGAAGTAGTAAAGGTTACGACAGGGTACAGATGAAGTGAGAATGGAAATTACTATGTTGTGTTCTAATGCATGACCCAAATACTGTGCTCCAACAGCTCCGATTCGATTGCCCCCGAGATCTAGTGTAATTAGTGTCTAGATAAAAAATCGGAGGTAAAGACATAATATCGAGAAAGAGAGAATGGTAATTACTGTGTTGTATTGTAATGCATGACCCAAATGTTGTGCACCAACATCTCCGATTTGATTTTCTGCTAGATTTAGTGTGGTTAGTGTCTAAATGAAAAAGCGGCAGGAAAGACATATTATTGAGAAAGAGAGGATGAGCGTTACTGAGTTGTATTGTACACTCTAAAACAAATGGATACTTGTTACTATCGGAAACTCTTCTATGGTTTTCGAGCGATTTGAAAACATTTCTGGTGGTGTCAGACTTATTTGTGAAACCTTAAAAGAAGTTCCGATAGTAACAATACCCATTTGTTTTTAGAGTGTAATGCATCAGCCAAATATTGTGCTCCAATATCTCCGATTGGATTATATTGGAGATTTAGTGTAGTAAGTGTCTTATGGAAAAGTAAAGTGAAGATATGTTATCGATAAAGAGAAAATGAGAGTTACTGTGTTGTGTTGTAATGCATGACCCAAATGTTGTGCTCCTACATGTGCAATTCCACTGTTCGAGAGATCCAGCGTGATGACTGTCTATATGAAAAAAGTGGAAATAAAGACAAAGTATAAATCAAGAGAGAATGGTAGTTACTGTATTGTGTTGTAATGCATGACCCAAACGTCGTATTTCAACAGCTCCGATATATTTTCCGAAGAAACTTATTGTAGTGATTGTCTTGATGAAAAAGTGAAGGTAAAAGATGGTGCAAATGAAGAGAGAGAATAGTTGGGCGATGTTCTATTTGATTATAGCAGTAAAATGAATGTTACTCTGCCCCCATTGTAAAGGCTTTGGATACTAATAAAGCGAATATTTTTCGCATCTCAGCTGCTGCATAGTGTACGATGACGGTTTGTGAAAATCTCGACGAAAAATAAGTTACCAAAAGGGAAGTAGGGTATAGAAGATGTTTATCGGTGAGTTAGTGCGATTTCTAAATGTTATTGAAAGTAGGAAAAATGTTTGGCTAATTGGAAATAGCTTTTAAGTTACTTTGACGCGAAACAATTGTGAAGCGTATTATTATTTGTCTAAAAGAGAACTTACTGCAGTAAACGATTGAGAGCGTATCAAAGTATGGTGGAGCGCTTATTAGTATTCTGTAGGTATAACGAAACATAATTTCTTATCAATAGTTAGTGAACGATTTTCTTTCAGATGAATTATTGAGAGCAGATACGCGTTTTGCATCAGAACGTTATTTAAGCTGTTAAACTTAGCTTTATTCATCCTTTTGATTTATATAAGCGATAATATATATTGATTTCAGAAGTTGCTGTCGATGCCAGTATACGTTTGTGTTCAGGATCCAAGAATATAAAAAGTGAAAAATCAAAGAATGTATTTCGTGATGTCAGATTCATTATGAGTAGAAGACGAATGTACGCCAAAATATCGTATAAAAAATATTGCTGACGAATTATTCTCGAAGTTTCATCCTTTAGAAAGCGTGCTTTAGATAAAATTCGTTTCGGAGCAGTTATTTTAGAAACAAATTTGCTGTAGAAGAAGTATTCCTTCAAGAAAGATTTCGTCTTATTAGTATGGATGTTATTGTAAGTCAATCTTCTCTCCATTCACATCCACTGTTACTTGTACAGACTGTCGCGCATGTTCTTAAAGAAGTATTTGTCGAAGTTATTTTTCAACGAAGTTATTTATAACAAAATAAACTCGTTTATCGACAGTTTGTTTCTTTTAAAAGCTGATTTATATTATCGAAATATTATTTAAAAAATGGGTGCTTAGACACATGTAAAAAGCAAATAACAATGTTTTGTTTATTTTCTTTCGTTCTTACTTAAAAGTTGTATGTTTATGATATATCATATCAAGTTTGAAATGTGGAATATTTAGATGAGATTGAAAAGAAAGAAAGAAAGAAATCATTTTCTCCTAATTATTAGAACACTATTTTCATATTATCATAATGTAATAAATAAATTTTTAGGCAGACACGAATGGGTGATGAATTATTTTGAGTGACAAATAGTTTGTTGATATATATTTTGTTGGAGTCAATAGATAAAAATAAAACTATCATGATAGAAAGCAGTTTACCTGGTATCGATCATAGCTGTCTAAGATCCTATCGAATCGTTGACATACGTTTCTCATTGAACAAATAATGGTGAAATCCGATTGATAGTCTAAAATTCGGTAGACAATTTCTACCGGTAACGTAAGGATGTTGGCGACAGTTTGATTTGCCATTATAAACTGTTGATGAAGTGTGTGCTGTGTAGGCTTGTATGTTGGCTATATATGCTGTTCTCTATCTTATCATTAAATAAGTGAATATTTGTTTTGTGTCATATATTTCACATGATGTTGTAATTACTTGTTGGAAGAAAAAGAATGATATTAGCTAGAAAAGATAGAGTCGAGATAACAACTGCGCACAACGTTTTTGTCTAAATTGTTTTATCGATATAAAATAATGTCTAATAGACATAAATATTGTGTTCTCGATTATAACTAGCGAAGGCAGAATAACTTTCGTTTTACTTATTTTTGTTCAAAATCTATATTATCATCTGACCATAAATCAAATAAGATTTGGTCTCAAGAAACGGAGTCAGACAAATGAATTGAGGAAAAAAATTAGATCATTGATTTCATGTTCGACGAATGTTACTACAATCTGATCCGTTGTTGAAGAAATCTGTCTGACATATTGAGAGATGCCATTGAAAAAATGCACACAATTATTAAATTATTTAAGTAGCTGACTCCTTTTCTATAAGATCTTTGATCTGTTCTTTTATTGAGTGACTGACTAGTTATGGAAAAACTATAAGTTTCTTTTTTCGCGAATAATTATCAAGAAATTCAAATTACTATGATAATTATTTAATAATCCTAGCTTTAAATAGCTCATCAAATGATGCAAATTAATAAACCACATGTTGCTACAAATAGAATAACTATTTAAATAAAATGAAATACTTAATTTCTCTTTTGAACAATCATGACTTAATTCAAGTTATTTTGATTTGTTTATTTTATAAGATTTTACAACTAATAAAAAATAGAATGTATTTTTTTCTCTGCAGAAAATCAATTGTATTAATTTCTTATTTATGTATTCCATTGAACAACCAAATTTGGATTTGGATGTGAATTATGAAAACCATGACGATTAGGAATATCTGATAAACGATAAACATGACCACATGTACGACCTCTCATTAATCGATCTAAATCATCCCATTGATCTTCACCTAATGCTTCTTTTACACGATTGATAATTGATCGATCAGCAAACCAAGCAAGACCATTACTTAATACATCAAATTCTTTTTCAGCATCACGATGTTCTTTATAACGACCTGTAAAAATAATATTAATTTTTTCTGCTAATAACGGAACTTGTTTTTGACTACGATCAGCTAATAAACTAATTATTGTATCAAATATTTTTCCACCACGTGTTGGAGCATAAACCATCATTCTGCCAAGAAATACACCAATATCATTAGTTAATACAACTCGTCGTGCTAATTCTAATGCACGTATTTGTTCGGTTTTATTTGTAGTTAATTTTTGTCGATTACTATCAAATTCTTCATGTGCAACAATAAGAATTTGTTCATAATGAGTTTGAGCATTGAAAAATGTTTTATTTAAAATTGCTGAATTAATCGATTCATTAGAATAAAAACGAAGACATTGTACAAGCATTGATCGAAGTATAAGACATTCTTGTTCATTTGATATATCTAACATACGAATACCTAATCGATCAAGAACATTTTGAATTGGTTTTGTTGAAAAAGCAGATAATAATTCAATCATTTTTGTTCGAATTTTATTATTCATTGAACTAATGGGTCGTTCAGGTATTTCAAATTCAATAACAATATCTTCTGTTGGAATTTTTGGATTTGTTTCGTTTTTTTTTAATACTGATCGAGCATACACTGCAAAACGACCATCAATTGATTTATCATTTTTTGTTTTAACATAAGATAAGTCATTAGTATTTGATTCTGTTTGAATATTTTCATTATCTTCTATATCATAAAGTAATGATTGTATATGTTCAGTAATAACATTATCTGATGTACCATGATATATATATGAAAAATGTCGTCGATATAATTCTTCGACAATAGCATAACGAAATGATTCATCAATTGTTTTAATACCTGATGCATACATATAACCAAAAAGTGTCATTAAATTTTGAATATGAGCTTTACTACGACCAGTTGGATTTGCCATGAATTTTTTTAATAAATCATTTTCTTCACCAAGATATTGAATTGTTTGTGGAAGAAGACCATGACATAAACGTGTAAATTCATGTAAAATTATTTCTTCACGTTCAGATCCATTTTTTGGACTAGCATTCATCATTTGACCAAGAATTGAATAAAGACCTAATAATTGATCTGATTTATAACCACTTATATCAAGTGTAAAAAGATAGCCAAGCATAGGTTCTAACATAATTTTAACACGTTCAAAATGTGCATCACAAATATAGAGTGGTAAAAATGTATTGATTGGTTCAGCAGCAACACCACGAGTAAATTCTGATTGAGTTCTCAAATTTTCTTTCGATACAATCTTTGTACTTGTTGTTGGTGCACTTGTTTTAGATGCAATAAAACCTCCATGAAGTCGTGCTGCATCTCCAATATTAATTTTCATTTTAATTGCATCATCACATGCTGAACGTGAAAGTATTGTTACAGATACATCTTTAACTGATATTAATGTTGGTGCATCAACAACATGTTCTTGTCGTTCAACAACAAGACCAACACCCATAATATCATCTTGACTATCCATCATCATATCTCGACAAGTATTTAATGTTAAACAACAAGTAAATGTAACAAGATCAACATTTTCAAATGCTGTTTCTTCATTAAATTTAAGTTCATTTAATTTCGAATCAATTAATTGAAGATTTGATTGATTACGTACTGCACGTTGATTCATTCGACGTTGACGAGATGATTTAGAAAATCTATATAGAATAATAAATAAAAGAAAAAACGAAATTCTAACTTACTTGTCTGCATATCTTAAATCATTCATTTTAGCTAAAGCAGCCGTTTGATTTAATGTTCCACGTGCAATATCACCCATAATTGTATGTATATCATCTAAACGTGTCTGAAGTTCAGCACGAAGGTCCATAGCTGTTTGTCGTTCAATTTTAGTTCCACCAATACTATTTCCAAACATTTTTACATTTTGTAATTCACTTTGAAGTTGATCTAATTCTTGTTGAGTTTTAATTTCATTTGCACGTTTTGATAAAGATTTAAGAGTAAATATTGTATCTGGCTCAGTAAATTTTGGTATAACATCATATTGATTATTACCAATATTTATTTCAATAGATTCTTTTATATTCTCATCTAATGATAACCAACATTCAGCTTCAACATGATCTATATCAACCATTTCACCTGTAATTTTAATAGGTTCTTTAATATTAGGTAATTTTATTGTAAATTCAACTGTTAAATCAGCAAATTCAAATAATTCACGAAATTTTTCATCTAAACCAACTGAACCTTCAGCATATCGATATATACCATCAGTTGTACCTAAAGTTTTTAATGTATTCATCATATTTAAATCATGATCTTTTGAATAACCAATAACATGTACAACACAATTTGAACAATTTTTTCTTATAAATGAACTTAATTTTGTTTGAGCATCTAATAATGCATTTGGACGATTACATGAATCACATCCATCAGTCATAAATATAATTACAATACGTTTTTCGGAACCTAATTCTTTGATAGTTGTTTGTACTTGTGCAAAAGCTAATTTATAAAATTAGCTACTGAATTTATTTTATTCAATAAAATTTTAATTACCTTTAACAAAATCTGTTGAACCTGATGCAGTTGTTTTTGCAACAGAAGCTAAATTAGTAACAGATACTGTATCATTATAAGTAATAACAATAGGTTCTGTATACGCATCTCTCTGAAGCGTTTGATTCATTTCATCAATTGCTTTAACTGCTGATTGAAGTTGTTTCCATGGACCTAGAATTCATTTGTATAGGATTTAATATATTTATAAAATACAAAAAACAATTATTCTACCTCCAGCCATTGATCCAGATCGATCGATGACAAGAATAATTTGTGAAACATAATTTGCATTCTGTTTATCACTACGAAATGGAAAAAGCAATTTAACTAATGAAGAAGCAGTACTTTCGGACGAAACAACTGTGCATGTAGCCATATTTGAGTAAGAAATTTATCTTTGATAAAACGACACATGCTTTACCATTATATATAACATTTCATAAACATTGTGCAATAACATAAAAATAATAGAAAGAAAAGTTACTAAACGTTGCACGAGAACGTATGACGCAAGATACTATAAATATATTTTATACTTACAAATATTTATTCATATATGAGTCATTCAATAATTAAAACACAACGAATTAAAACGAATGACATAACATTCTATCAAAAACTACTGAAAAAAGTGAGATTTTCAATAATTCAATGAAGACGAATATCGACTCATTTTTATTTTATAAATTATGTAGGATATAGTACAAATTTTGCATAAAGTCTTTTTTTCATTGTACAGAATTTGAATTGCTGATTTATAGTCTTCTGAAACTAATTCTATGTTGACATATTCATCGGAGATCTGCACAGATTTAGGTTAAAAAGAAATATTTGAAAATTTTAATGAATATGCATATATCGTCGAAAAGAGGTTTATTTATTTAAAAATCAATTTTCTGTAAGTATTAGCGATCTAAACACATTATTCATTGTAATTATATTTTTGTACGATAAAGATCATAATTTCAATTTTACTATGTATTATATTCCAACAGTAATGATACTTCATGATTATTTCCATTTTATTTTAAATTATTTCAATAGGCTACCATAACTGGTAGAAAAAAAACTTTAAAAAAATATTATCTAGTCAATAAAAATATAATAAAAATTATGTATATGGGTTTTTACGCGGAAAAATTATCCATATCCGAATTCTTGATTGTATACTTGTTTAATTGAACACCAAAGAACTATAGGTTATCGTAAATATCAAAGCAAACCGCCTCAAACGAATTTTAACAAAAAATTAATATTTAACTTTGACTTTTTTCAGGAATATTTTTATTTGACAGCATCCCGAAAATTTTCACATTGTAATTGAATGTTTTTTAAAATGCAAAAAAAATGAATACCTAGGTCGAACATTACGATTATCCGATTCTGCAAGAACGCACTGGCAATTTTCTAGAGTTTTCCCGTGGATTCTAGTCAATTGCCTATGCTTTCCTACAGCACCCGGAACCGGCCCGTATTTTTTGATATAAGTACATGTTCGAGGATGAGTAATGGTTGACTAATTAGAGAATAATAAAATATTTAAATATATTGTCGTGATTACCAAATAATGCTGTTCTGTGCAGGATTGTTGACCATTCGATTGAACATGTTATTGATTGAATTAATAAAAACAGTACCGTCTGTTTCAGTTGATACAGCTCCTATCCTTGTAACATTTTCAATAAATTTGAACATCGAATCACGAATGATCGTATTATCTTTTTCAACTAAAATGTCATCAAAAAAGTCTATGCGAGAATTGAGCACCAGCTAATGATGCATTATCTAGTTATACAACTGTATCATTATATAATTTGTACGCAACGTAACCACAATCCTTTTGTATTTGTTCGTGGGTAACCTCGTTCAATAAACTAACACTTTGTCGAATAAATAAATAACATACACATATATGTAATTTCGATTATTCTTTTCTTTCTTAACATAGAACGTTGGTATAAAAGTAAATTTATCGAATTTTTTATAACAACCTATTATTTCATTTTAAATGGTCATCCCCTTTTCATTATATATTTTTACATTTAAGATATCTCTCAGCAGAATTTTTTTTTATCAATGGCACTTTCACCTATTAATATCTATGATGTTCCTATGGAAAAGTATGCGTATTCGCTCACAGGTGAATTAGGTACAACTGGCCTATCACCATGTGTAGCGGTTATTGTCATATTCTCTGATCATACAATTATGATGGAACATCGTTCTGATATTGAACTATATAAATATGGAAGTGAGGCAGAAGCATTTATATCAGGATGAAAAGAATTCATCCTAACACATTTGATTGCATATTTCAATACTTTTCGTTTGTTCTTATGTATCGAAAAGATGTCGATGATCAACGTGAAGATGATAATGACTAAATAATAGAAAATAGTTCTTTTGTATTCTTCAGTCGTCTATCACTAATAGTA